CCGGGCGGGGGTTGCTGTGGTTTTGTTTGGTTTGGTTATTTTTTTCCCCAATTGTTTGAAGCAAGCCTTGAGAAACATTGGTTTCAGGAAGGCTGACACACTGTCAGCAGTTCTGTGGGTTTTATTTTTTACTTTCTGCTAATTGCAGTAGGGGTTTTTCACTGATTATCATCAGTGGCACAGTTATAATGCCTATGTCAGTAAGCGTATTATCCACGCGCCTAATGAAGTGAGCTGAGATTTACCATCTGTGGTCACAGTTAGTTGCACTTGTGAAGCTGGATACCTATAGCCAGGTCGTGAACGCAGCACAGAAACCTGGATGAACGCACTTCCATCAGAGATTTCTGGAGAGCCAGCAGTGGCAGAGCCCATTCACCATCACCACGTGGCTGGTCTCCTGCTGGATTTCTCTCCTGTTCACCCACAGTGTACCAACAGCTGAGGGTTTCACCTTCAGGTGAAAATGTCAGAATGTGTGGCATGAAGCCACAACCCAAAGCACAGCTCCGTGGGCACAGCATAGCACTGTGCCCCTTACCCTTTCTTGTTCTCACCGGGTGTCAGCAGAAAGTAATTTTGAGAATTCCTTCTGTCACTGAGCACATCTCCCATTTTATCAGCTAAGGGAATTACTCTTGATTCAGACAAGAGACACAAGCTAGTTCTCATGCGCTTCTCATCTCTTATTGCCCAGTCCATCCCAGACTGTAGGGAGATCTTCCAGACCTGGGCACACCGAGTCAAGCCAGCGTGACACAATCAGTGTGGCTGCCTTGCTCCAAGCAGTAGTTGGTCGATAGGATCCTGGACCACGCACTGTTTTCCAACAGTGTGAAACTTCCCTTTCATGCCTTTCCATTACCTCTACGCTTTCCTGTGAATTATTATCATATCTGCAGTGCATCTCCCAACCGCTCCTCAAGCGCAATCTCTCTTTCCCAAGAGCACTTCTCAATGGCAGAACTTGGGCTGTGTGGGCATGGGAGGCACTGACACATCTCCCATCTGTCAGACTTTCTCCAGCCATTGCTGGGAACTCCTTCAAAGGCAAGGCTGAGAGATATAAATCCTTACAGGATATCCTCAAGAAGGGCAAGATGCGCATCTAGGCTTGGGACCCCACGTCCAAAGAAGATGGATCCCCCAAGAGCAGTACTCAGCTGTCCTCATCAACTCCTTTCCCACTCTTTCCTGGTATGGTCTCCATGAGTTGAGAATCAGTTCCCTGGCTTCTGCAGAAAAAGACTCCTCTTTTCACACGTGCCTCCAAGCCTCCCAAACTCCTCCCTGACGTAACGAAATTGAGATCAGCCTTGGAAGCCCATGGAGCAGCTTGTTGATTGGAAGATTTCCAGGTTTGGTTCCAAAGACTTGTAAAATATACCAGAAAGTTTTTAAGGTCTGATGAGCCCTCCGGGCTTTGCTGTTCCACAGATTCCCTGAGCCACCTTGGGAAAACCACTTCCTCCATCTGTACCTAGTGGAAGCAAAGAGCAGCTTCCTCAGTCCCGTCTTTTCCCATCAGAGAGAAAACCTGTGGCCTAAAACTGAACTTTTACATCCCTCTGAGAATGTTGAAACCCCGATGCAGATAGCACAACCACGTGGCTTCCCCCTACAGCTAGGAATCCAGCTCCACCTGATCTCAGCAGATTTAGCTCCCCCAGAGTCAGATATTCATTCCCTAAACATCCCCAGAGCCCTTTCCACAGCCCCGTCAGCATCTTGGAGAAGTGGCAGACCTGTGGCAGGGCAAAGTGTTACCATGTAGGTAAAGAAGAGCAAACTCAAGCCACCTGTGAAGCCTGGAGCCTGACCCCTATGGTCTCAGTTAGTCACAGATTCTTTTCTGGTTTTCCTCCTGTGCAGGTGGGACAGACTGAGGGACTGACGCTTTCCCAGCTAGCCAGCCAGCACTGGGGTTTGGGATCAGGCTGCATCTCTCCAGCCTTGCATGTTATCCAGAAAATAACAAAGCTGGGAACACATCGTGGATGACATTCACACAGGGATTGGTCCCACCTGAGAACACCCTTGGGACCAGATGCCCCGTGCCAACACAGTGCACATGAGACATTCCCCCCTCAGGTGGGACATAAATCCCTTGGGGTTCCTACCTGCCCACCTACTGCCCTGTGCTCACACAAGATACGGACACATGCAACCCAAACTCCACGTCCTGTGGCTGCAAAGCCTCACGTATGGGGATACGCGTGGCTCCACTGCACCACGCAGGAGGGAGACGTGTCTGACCTCATCCCGCTCTGCCCTCACACAGACAGGGACCCCCGTGACCCTGCCATCCCAAGTCCTCCATGCAGGCAGGGACACAAGCAGTCCCAACCTCCCCACGCAGGTGAGTGCTCCAAGCAGAATAGGGCAGTAGCCCTAACCCCTTGGTTCTCCCATACGGAAAGGGCCACGCAGCCCCACCTCACCATTCCCCAAGAAGGAAAGGATGTTCCTGGAGTTCAAGGAGGTGGGGACCCACGGCCCCATCCCACCCTGTCCATCAAGTCGGCACAGAACGTGTGGCCCAACCCTTCCCATGCACCACACAAGCGGGGACACGCACAGTCCCCATCACGCAGCGCCCTCAATGCAAGAAGAGACAGGAGCAGCACAACCCCTTGACCCCGCCACACCCCGCAGGCAGCCGCAAGCCTCGGCTCCCCCCGTGCAGAGGGGACAGGCGGATCCCGGCTCACGGATCAGCAGAGCTCCGATCCCCGCACCGCACACGCGTGTTCCTCCCCGGCTCCGCCACCACCGCAGCCCCCACGCAGGCGCGTCACGCGTAGAACCGATCCGCAGCCCTCCGCGCAGGCAGCGACCACCAGCACCCCCCGGCCCCCCGCGCAGGGGACGACAGGAGCGCGGCACTCACCCGCCCGGCGGTGCGGAGGGCAGTGCTGCGGGGCGGGCCGTGCCGGCATTTACATAGGGCTCGGCGCCCGCCGCCGCCTATAAGAGCGGGGCGCGGGCCGGTGCCTCCCGAGAGCCGCCGCCGCCGCCAGCAGGTAGGTTGCTGGAAAGCCACCGCCGCGCCGCCCCGCCCGAGCCACGCTGCCCGCCGGGGAGCCCCGGTGCGGCCCCGACCCTTCTCGAGCTCCGAGGAGTCGGCGCTCCCCGCGCGGCTGTGTGGGTCCCGGCTAGGTGAGCGTGAGGAGGAAAGGGCGAATTGCCGTCCTAAATTCAGTTCTTCCTTATCTCGTTTTGACCCTCTTCCGAAGGTGGCAAAATAAAGAATGTCTCCACCCCCGAGCTGCAGCGCTAATTGCTCGATGTCCGAGGGTGAAGGATGGCCCTCGGAAGTTTGAGTGGGAAATACCGATTTGCAGCCCTCAGCAGCCCGATCTAGGATTGCTGCTGTCTGCCGCGAGGTTTGGGCTGGACTTCCAGCCTGACACGTTCTATGGCAGGAAAATGTGATTTCTGTCCCTGGAAAGTGCTAAGGTTTCAACATCCTGCCTCCCTAGCTCTTCTCCCTTGCCAGTACAGAATATTTTAAAAACAGATAAACGTGTTTTCTAAATGTCAATTTCTTCTGAATGACTGAACTCTTCCTTGAGGACGTCTTTCGACTTCTTGCCTCTGTACACGGACAGAGGAAATGATGGGGGCTCTGGGGCTGCATGCATGCTTCTGCATTGGAGGATGCTTTCCAAAGTGCAGCAGCTTCTGTTTCTTCTGCCCTGAGCTGCAGGTCCCAGTTTTCCACTTTCAAGCTGTGAAAATGTCAAGGAATTGGTCTCCTGTGCAGGGATTCAAGCAGGAATTGAGGTTGGGCTGGCAGCAATAGAAAGCACTGTTTCACTGGGAACTCCCCCAAAAACTACTCTTACAAGCGTAGAGGAAATGCAGGAATCCTTTGATACTGCTTGAAGGTTAAAAATGGATTAAAATGGAAACATTTTTCATGTTACTGGAGTTTTAGTTCTTACTTGCTGCTTGTAGTCTGATCATTTTAATTTGCAAAGGGTTGCGTTTTGGTGGATGCGGTCAGGGAAAGCATTCCTTTCTTCCAGACACCTTTTGGGGTCAGGTCAAAGACAGTGGGGAAAGTGACATTCAAGCAATCAAGATTTGACTAAATTAGTCTAAATGAGTTGTTTATTCCTGTTCTTACAGTCTCTTGGACCGTCTGTGGGCACTTTGCTGCAACCCTGCGACTGGACTTGAACCTAATATTGAACTCAGTTACAGCTCCTCCTTGTCAGGTAATCCTAGTGCAGTGGTGCTGCAAGGCTGGCCATCTCTGTGCTTAGCTGTCCAGGGAAATATGTTGGAATAGTTACAGCTAAACAACACAAGCTGAGCTTTATAAGTGTGCTTGATGGCTCTGTTACGCTGGAACTGAGCGTCCGGATGAGAGCTGGAGCGGTCGTGAGGCAAGCAATCTCCCTGCAAAACCAAGTGTCTGTTAAATTGCTTGCAGTAATGGTCTCTGTTTCTTGACAGAGAGGAAACAAAGTGTTGCTTTTATGGATTAAGAAGTGAATTCAGCTTGCCCCAAGAAATTGATTTAAGATCTTTACTGTAATTTCCTTCCACTTCTGGGGATTTGAGACTCACACTTCAGTGGCTGAATTGCTTTGAGTTGGATCTTACCTAGAAATGTGGTAATTATTGTTTTCAGAAAATAAGAAAAAAATCAACTCTCCCATGCAAGGACAGGATGAAATTATATTTGATCATAAGTCATATTAGCTCTGGCATTCCCTGACTTCTGAAGAATTCCCGGGGTAGTTACATACAGAGATGATATTAAATAAGGGAAATGAAGGGACGAAGCATGTAATCGGTTTTGTAGAAAAGATCTAATCCAGAAATGGGGGAAGTTCTGTAATTGCTAGGACTGAAGCGTTAATGGGAGTCGAAAGTAATCAATGGGAATCGCACAGATCCTCTGCTCTTGGTCTCATGTAGCTCAGTCTGCTACACCCTGAGGTTCCTGATACTTACATGCTCCAGAGCCTTGTGTTCTTGGACCCATAGCCCAGGAGCATACTTTGCAGTTCCTGGGAAAAGCCTCTGAGGAGAGGGGGTGGAAATGGAGGTGGTGGTTTGCTCTGCTTGGTGTTTGGTGCTGGGATAATTCTGTTTCTGTGAAGTCAACATTCTCGGTGAATCCTCATCATTTTGGAGGAAGGCTGCACATGCCAGTGCAGAGGAGCGGTGCCTGCTGGCTTGCAGGCTTCCTAGAAGGGCACATAGCAAAGCTGAACGTCCTGGCTGCATCATCTGGAGGGAAAGACCCAGCTCTGCCTGGGGAGAAGCTGCTCAGCAGGTTTCTGGGCTTGGGCTGCTCCCCACAGACAGCAGTTGTGGTTCCTCACACTGCCACAAACCCCTTGGGCTGGCTAAGCGCTGAGCCAGGCACCTCCTCTCCACCGCTGAGGGCTTTGGGTGCTCCTCTGCCAGGCAGTATTTCACTGGGCTTATTTCCTCGCAATGTCACACTTCCTTGTCCCTCCGGAACAAGGAATTGAGGCCACCCTTCTGCAGCTGGTGCTTCTGGAACTGAGCTGGAACTGGTGACGACAGACTGGAGAAGCCAACGAGGCAGCCTGGGCCTGTGCTGCGACCACCTCTCTCCCCATCTCCTGGAGGTGCAGAATGACTCTCTTTGATGGCGTCTACCCCTTCTACCCGCAGCAGAGGAAGAGCTTTGTGTTCGATGTCAGCACCATCATTGTGGTTATCGTCTTCCTGACGCTGGCTTCCACCTTCCTGCTCATCATCCCGGGCATCCGTGGACGGGCGGTGCGTGATCCTTCTCCCAGGGATAAGCATCCATTCTCCGTGTTCTGGATGCCAGGGTGACCCCGGCTGGCTCAGGGTGAGGCAGGAGGAAAGCCTGGGGCTGTTCTCTGTGCCTGACATCCCATCTCTTTCCACACAGAGACTGTACTGGATGGTCCGTGTTCTCTTCAGCTTGATGGTGGGAGTAGTGATTGTTGGTAAGTGCTGCAGCCCCTCCAAGGGCAGTTCTGAGAGTAAGATTTGGCCCTGGGGCAGGGTCTGGGTCCAGTATGAGTGATGGCTTGGCAGGAGCTGGTTCCCCTACCCCTGCTATGCAAAACAGCAATGCAGCTCTCAGGTGGGCTCCCTTACCATTTGAACCATATTATCATAAAATCATTATGGTTGGAAAAATCACTAGGCTCATCTAGTCCAACCATCAACCCATCCCCACCATGCCCTCTAACCATGTCACATCTTCATGGTTCCTGAACACTTCCAGGGATGGTGACTCCACCACCTCCCTGGACAGCATGTTCAGTGCAGTACCACTCTTTCAGAGAAGAAATTTTTCCCAGTATCCAACCTGAACCTCCCCTGGTGCAATGTGAGACCATCAGCTCTCATTCCATCACTGTTACCTGGGAGAAGAGGCTGACCAACACTTCACCACAACCTCCTTTCAGGGAGTTGTGGGGAGCGATATGGTCTCCCCTGAGCCATCCCAGCTCCCTCAGCTGCTCCCGATAACACTTGTGCTCCAAAGCCTTCACAACTCCGGGGTTGAGGGTCCCAACACTGAGCACAGCACTGGAGGTGCAGCCTCACCAGTGCTGGCTATAGGGGGATGATCGCCCTCCTGCTCCTGCTGGCTGCACTATTTCTGACGCAAGCCAGAATGCTGTTGACCTTCTTGGCCACCTGGGCACACTGCTGGCTCATGTTCAGCTGTGGGTCAAACAACAGCCTCAGATCTTTTCCTCTGCACGGCTTGCCAGTCACTTTGCCCCAAGCCTGTAGCAATGCCTGGGGTCATTATGGCCAAACACAGGACCCAACCTTTGGTCTTGTAGCTCATTCAATTGGCCTCAGCCCATGGATGCAGCCTGTCCAGATCCCTCTGTAGGGCCTGCCTGCACCTAGGCAGATCTACAATTTCTCCCAGCTTGGTGTCATCTGCAAACTTACTGAGGGTACACTCAGTCCCCTCACCCAGGTCACTAATAAAGATATTAAACAAGGCTGACCCCGATACTGATCCCAACACAAGGGCTGTGAGCACTTGACGTGCCCATGTGCACTTCTGAGTATTTGCCTGTTCTAATGGCACTGAGGAGCCCCACGTTTCTCCAGCTGCACAGCCCAATGCCAAGGGAGCATGGATAAGGAGCTTGGACAGCAGCCAGACAAATTTAGAGCCTTGCAGTGATGGAGAGAGAGTAAAACAAAACAAAATACAGTCAGCATGGAAGTAGGGGGTAGAGACTTTCCAAGGCGGGAGATGAAGGAGAGAATTTGATTGGGCAGAGAGCAGGAAATCTACTGAAATTAATGGGACTAATACTTGGAAACAGCAAGGTCCAGACTGTGGGCGTCTCAAATTTGGACAGAGCTGCAGGGTGTATGAGTAGCAGCTGCAGGGAGAGGAGGGAAGATGATGGGCGGGGAGAGCAACCAGTCCTGACCCTAAGTCAAGGAAACTCTCCAGAAGCCCTCCAAGGGAAGGTTTTAAAGGCCAGGGCAGATAACAAACAAAAAGCCACTTGGAGCAAGATGGTGAGGCGCAACCTAAATGACGAGCACTAGGTCAACTCAAGGATAGAAGTACATAGCCAAACTGTGAGTGGCCACAGCACTCTGCTGCCTGACACATGGCTTGCAGGGCCTGGTCTGACTGCAGTGGTCACCCTCTGCTCAGAAATATCCAGGCACTGGGTGATGCTACCAGAAGTGCCAGGCTGCAGCTGATGGAGGGGTGGGGACAGCAGCTTGCTCCACAGCCTGAGCCAGTTCAGCCTTTGCTCAGCCCTGGAGAACCATCCAGCACTGCTCTCTGGACAAGGATGCAGCCAAGTGCTGCTTGGATAAGCAAGAGGAATTGATTGTTTTAAAGCCAGCGTCAGGATTTCTGTCCAGAGGCAGAAGGGCACACAGTGCTGCAGCCAGGAAATGTCCCCATGAAGCTGCCGCCGGATCAGTGCTCTCACAAGTTGACCCAGCTTACCTTCAGGCAGATTTGAAAGGTCTTGTTCAGCCTGAGGTTCAGTCCTCACCTTTAATTTCAGCTCACATAATTGCCAGAAAATTGAGTCCACCACAAAGTAAAAGTGTTTCAGAAAAGAAACTTTTTTTTCATAAAAACATATAGCAGAAAGGATTCCAATTCTTCCTTCTCTCCCACTGACCATCCTGCTCCACCATTTCTATTTGACAAAAAATCCAGTGAATTTTTATTATTCACTAACTGTGATCAGCTGCTTAACAGGGAGCTTAATAATGGCAATGAAACTCACCCTGCTGCTGAAGCTGAGGAATGGGCTCATTTCTGAGCCTGGTCCCCCGGGGCCGCGGTGCTTGCCATGGTGGGGAGCGCGTGGGGAAGCGCCGAAGCAGATGGCTGGAATGGATTCAGGCTGTGGGGATCGGAGCTCCCCGCCTGCGGGACCAAGGGGGTGGATGCTGAGCAAGAGGAGGAGAAGAGCTGTGCCAGGGCGTGGGGCTGGTTGTGGCACGTCTTTGTGGCTGAGTCATCTCTCCTGCCCTTCTTACATTCCCTGGCGGTGTCGCAGTGGGAATGCAGCAGCTCGTGCTTGCCCCGGGTCCACCCTGAGCTCAGTAAAGCCCTGGAGCAACCCCTCTTTAACCCTAATCAAACTTTCTCTGGCAGTTGTCCAGTTCACGGGGGACTGGGAGAGCGGCTGGGTGACAGCCAACACCTCCTACAAATCCTTCAGCCTCGCCGTGGTGAACGCAGACATCGGGCTGCATGTCGGCCTGGCAGGCGTGAACATCACACTGGTGGGTGAGTGCCATGTCCCTTTCTCTTCAGCCCCAGCTCTGCAGAGACCATGGCTATAGGGGGTCTCCAAGAGCTTTTTTGATGGCCTTGTTTTTACTGGAGGCTTCTGGACAGCCTTTTGTCGTCAAGATGCTCCTGGCTGTCAGTGCCCATTCTATTGGGACGCAGCAGGACCTTAGTCCTCTTCCTCTGGCAGGAAACCCAGTGAATCAGGTCAACGAGACCATCAACTACAACGAGCACTTTGCCTGGAGCTTCGATGCAGACTACGACCACAGCTACAGCGAAGGCCTGGAGAAGGGGCTGCCCAGCCCCATCCTCTACGTGGCGGAGAAGTTCACCACACACAGCCCCTGCAACGTGCACAGGCAGTACCGCATCTCCAGCCACTACGCATCGGCCAGTCTCTGGTGAGGCCTTGGATTGAGGTGGTGAGTGGTGGGTGGCGATTGCAAGTTGCTATAAGGAGAGCCATGTGTGTGGAGGGGGCTCTCTGAGGTCCGCTTTCAGACCGCTGGCCCTGTGCAAGGAGCAAGAGCTCCTGGACCACAGCTGAAGGCTTCCCTTGTAACCTGGCTCCTGAGGCAAGTTCAGAGCTACTTCAAACAGCTTGAATCTACTTCTACAGGTGTCTCGGTCCCATGTGCTGCTCTCTGTGGTCTGCCCTGCACCACACTTAGGTGGGCAGGGCGCTGAGATGGTGTAGATGTGCAGTCTGTGCTTTTGCTTTCTGGACATAGCAGTATGAGCGTTGCACATCTCTCTGCTTAGCCTGGGAGACCAGGGATCACTCCAGCCTGCCCACAGTTTCTTAACCTCATGCAGTGCAACCAAGAGCCCAGATCTCTCTTCCCACCTGGAAATCCTCATGTAGAGCATCCTAGTCAGTGGCACTTGCACATCTTGTCCATTGGTCTTCTCTTGTCTCTAGGGTGGCCTTTTGCACTTGGCTCATCTCCAACATGCTCTTCTCCATGCCTGTCCTAGTCTACGGAGGGTACATGATCCTGATCACAGGGGCCTTCATGATCTTCTCACTGCTCTCCTTCTCCACTGTGAGGAACTCCCTGGTGTGCCCAATCCAGTTTGGGACCACATCCCTGCAGATAGGCTATGGGGGATCTTTCTGGCTCACACTAGCAGTTGGTAAGTACATCAAGCTACTTTAGGTCCACCGCTATGACCCCTGGGTGTGCAAGAGCCCCAGGGCTTTCTCTTCACCACTGGAGGTGAGGAGCTTGGGACTGCAGCCCTGTTTAGGCTTACCCTGTGTCTTGACACAGCGGCTCCCAGCAGAGATACAGAGAAGGCTGGCAGAACTGGGAGAAGCATCACTGTCTTTAGGGTGATGAGAGATTTTTAGCTCCTGAGTTGCAGCAGAAGAATTGGGGATCAATTGGCTGAGTTTTGAGACCTGTTCTTGGATTTTATGGTGGTCGACACAGCAGCTGAAACCACCTCATAGAGTAGAAGGCCATCTTCTGTAAGAGAGGGTGTCCCTTGGTTCGAGGCCATTGGAGTATGGATATGGGGTGGGAAATGTGCTGACATTTACAGGATTGCTCACGGAGAGCATGTTGTTTTCCAGGCTTGCTCTGTTTTGTGGCTGGGATCACTGTTGTTGCACTGCACTACTTCAACTCTGACCTACTGAAAACTTTCTTTGATCTCCATGTGGACAAAGCAGAGGACTATCGAGAGATGACTGAAGTGTATGTCAACCTTCGGTTCATGAACAGTACTCTGTCTCCTCCTCAACCCTCCAAACTTACCCCTGATGACATCTAGAAGAAAAGTTTTCCTACTCCTTACCTGAAGGCGGGCCTAAGAACACAGAGCACAGACCCTTCCTGATGTCTCTTGAGACTCATCTATCCATCTAGGGGACTTTGAAGAGTGCATAAGTCCACGTTAGGATGAGGACTTGCTCAGAACTGCCTTTGCCATCCCTGATTGTCCTCTCTAGGACAAGGACAGCTTTGCAGTGAGCCAGCAGGCTGCAGGCAGTATAGCTCAGACCTCCAGCAACCTGAGCTGCACGCTCACCTGGCTGAGGAGTAACCCCCACTCCTGCTCTATGCCCTGCCACAGCTTGGTGCAGGGGGTTTCTGATGGCCAGTTCCCATACCAGTGGGTGAGATTTCCCATAGTGATTTCTCTTTGAGGATGCTCACTACTCCAATAGCCAGCAATCAAACACGCTCAGTCTTTCTTTTCCCAAGCACTGATGTCTAGTGTAGACCTTCAGATGTTCCTAGGAAAGCCAGGCACAGACCCAAACTCCCTCAGGCTGGATGCTGTGTGAGCCAGAGTATAAAAGATGGCTACAGAATTAAAGATTAAGTAAATATACTGAGGAGCTTGCCAGGGGGAATGTGGTGATGTGATTATTTTCACTTTCAGACTTGGGTTTTATTCGATAAGAATTGTAGCCTAACACGGGCCAAAAAGATGTCATGGGAAAGATGGGAGAGAGAAGAGTGCAATTACACCCATTCTCTTGGATGGGCTCTATTCAAGTGGAGCACACTTGGGCTGGCTGTGCTTATGTCAAAATGCAGCCTTGAGTCCCACCAGTGGCATCCTTCCATGGGGTGGCTGCCCTGACGGAGGCACCCCCAGAAAGGATCAGATTCAGCATGAATAAATGATGCCTTTGAGAAACTTTGGGGTTGTGTGGCCCCTGGGCTGTACTGCTGCAGGTCCTGCCTCTTCCACCCATTGCTGAACCCGGTTTCCCGGCTGAGCCAAGATGCTGTTGGACAATGAGACACAAAGTAATTGCCAGCAAAGCCTTGGCTCTCAGCCCAGTCTTTCTGATCCCATGCTACACAGACCTGGCCTGTTGGACACAGGGAATCTGGCCAGACAGCCTGTGCCAGTAAACTGAGCAAGCACCACAAAATGTGCCTGGGGCTCTGCAAGGATCACGGTCCTCATGCCCAAAGGCACACAGTGCCCTGGGACATGCGGCCACCACACCACTTGGCAGGCACCAGAGCTGCCCACTGACCTGCTGCCAGGATGGGCTGCAAATGGGGACACAGCGGGAAAGGCAGAGACTTATGAGGGCTGAATTTTCGTTCAATGGACAGAAAGCTTCTGTTTCACCTTGGATCTTTAGGCTGAAGCGTCTCCTAGTAGCTGCCATAGGGCATCTACTTCCTAGCTGAAGTTTTGAAAACTCAGGGAGTTCCATTCTGACATATTTCTAAATGCCTTAAGGTCCTTGTTGAAGTGCTTTCCGTCTGGAGAGGGATGGGACGAGTTACCATGCCTGAACACCCCTTCCCTGAGGGCACTGCACAATGGTCTTCCCTCTGCTGGTCTGGGGATTCTCTCATCAAGACCTCCTCCTGTCCAGGGCCACTCCAACCTTCCCATATCCTGGTTGATTATTTGCTTGGGGATTCTCTGATACTCACCGTTTGCCCCTACTGCCTCGAGCTAATTAGCCACTGTCAGATGTCCTGTGAGGCCACAACAACGCTGTCACTTCTTCCCTTTCCTATGATCATCATGTCAAAGGATCAGCATATCCCCAGCCTGTCAGCACTCAGAGGGATTCTTTTAATGACACGCAAGAGAAAGATCAGGTCCAGCTTTCTTTATTGAGACAGAAGAGACAGTAAGTGAGTACAAAACAGAAAAATGTTGTTGCAAAGCCTGCACAGATTTAAAGGGATGCAAACCTGAAATACACACCCTGCATGACCAAGGTACCTGCTAGCCACCAGCAGCCAGGAGGAGTTGGCTGCATCCACTGTGGGTCTGTAGGATTACATATTTGCATGCTCCGTAACAAGTGGGCAGCTAAGCAGCATGAAACCAGGTACTTCTAGGTACTGTCCTCCTGCAAACTGTTTACAGACAGTGATGGGGGAACCGGGGCATGCACTTCCATCCCCTCTTCCTCCTCTCCTTCCCACCCACCAAAACATTTTATCTTCCTTTCAGAAGGCCACAAGAGTCTTGGTAAGTCACATTTTGTGATCTTCAACTGATGTTTTTGCCTTTGACATCTGGTATGTATCCTTGACATCCCGGGAGCCTCCAAGGTTTAGTATCTCTGATATCTGGGAGGTCTCTAGGGTTTGGTATCTCTGACATGCAAGAATTCTGCAAGACTTGGTGCCTCCAAGGTTTGGTACTTCCAACATTGAAGAGATCTCCAAGGTTTGGTACAACCAACATCCCGCTAATACGTGGGATTCCTTGCCAATCCATCCTTCACTCCAGACCAAGAGCAGGTGCTGAATACAGGATACTTTAGTGCCCACAGCTCTGCTTTTTTCTCTACCTGTTGTTGGGAAGAGCATTGTTGGGCAGAGTGGGCTTCTGGCAGACCTTTTGGGGTAAGTGTGCTACTGAGGGTGTAGGGGTTGCTTCTCCTTTGGTTCATACTTATGTGTTTATTATATATATTTGATTTCTCTCCAGTTTCTTTTGGTTTAGCTTCCACATCAAGGAGATCTCCAAGACCATGTTGCTTTTGCCTCACAGGTTGGTGGCTGTCACCTCACAGAGCTCACCCAAGGACACCATCAGTATGTCCTGCTCAGAGGAGCTGGACTCGGCTGGCAGGTGGGACTTGTCCCACCCATCTACTTCTCTCTTTCCCTCGTCCAGGTTGAAAACAAGCTTCAGTTTCTGCGGGCGCACAGAGTTGAGAACAATCACACCCAGCCCCAGCAGCAGGCAGAACAGCCCTGAAACACACAGCATGGAGAGATGCATTGTCCCCAAATGCACTCCAGGCCCATCCAGCGACAGACCTAGGGATGGGGACCAGAGGGGATAGAAGCCAGTGGGATATGGCATCACATGGGAGGTCAAGGGAAGGGATTATTTCTGTTTCCAGTTTCCTACAGCAGCTCTACAACTGGGCTCTCCAGTACAAAAAGAAGTTAATAAGCTGCGGCAGAGGGCTAGACCGTTAGGTCTAAAGCCCACCATGTATGGGGAATGGTTGGAGGAGGTAGGTTTGTTTAGCCAGGAAAGGAGAAGCCTTCAGGGGGACCTAATTGCCACCTTCTGCCAATGAGTGGAATAGCCGTGGGACATCCCTGAGGGGCGGAAAGGACCATTCATGGTCCTGAAAGGCAAAGGGTTGATGCATGGGTACATCAACTAGAAGCCTGAACAAGGCCCTGGACAACCTGATGAGGCTTTGACATTAATACTGCTGCATGAGAGATCCCAGAAAGTCCTTCCAAACCAAGACTCTCCCTGATTTTATGACTCAAGACACAAATGATTTTGGTCACTCATATGAGAGCAGATGAAGTACCGCTGAGGTATTATTGCTGCAGGAATGGAGACCAAAAGCCCCAGCTAAGCACTCACCTGTTGTTAATGTCAGCCAAAAAGATCTGCCGTAATCTGTTTTCAGGGAGGCTGGCCCAAACTGGATGGGACACTTTGGGATGTTCCTCACCGTGACGAAGAAGAGCAGTGAGAAAAGCATCAGCACGGCAGTGAGCAGGAGCATGTAGCTGCCATAAAGGAGGACGGTCATGGAGAAGAGCAGGGTAGAAATGAGCCAGGTGCATAAGGCCATCCTACGAAAGGATCACAAAACTGAGCTGAAAGCCCTGTACATGGGCGTGTCAGTTCCTGCGGTGGTGAAGAGGGCTCTTCATACCTGGGGACATTCAGCACTGAACTACTTGAGACTCTGATATGTTTACTCTGCACAGGGGGCTCAAGTGGAGACCTGCAGAGGGCCCCTTTCAAATTGTACCTTTCTCTGGCCCTGTAGTCCTTCATAACTGGCCAGCCCCAGGTGTTTCATATCTATTCAAAAGGAAAAGGGCAGCCAAGGAGACTTCTGTTGGAAGAATCACACCATGAGCCCTGCCCGCGTCTGATTCAGCAGCTGCAGTGAGCACAGCTCTCAGCCTTGCCCGGAGCACAGTGCTTGGGTTTAGCTTACCGGGGAGGCAAGTCTAAGAAATTGTTCTGAATCCAAGAACAATAAGGCAGAATCACTTGAAATCAACGTCCTTGCCTTGAGATAACCAGTTCTCAATGACAGGGAGGTTTGGGCACAGCCTGTTATTTTTCTCGATCATGAAGAAGGAGACAAGGGCTGGGCCTGGCTGCTGACACACCTGTAAGGAATGCCAAACCACTCTTCTCTGCAGCATCTTTCCCACGACCTCTGAGACATGTGGAGATGCTCTCAGACCTTTCTACCTACAGCTGAGCAGAAGCAGAACTTACCCCTTGTTCCGCCTTACCACAGCGTAATGGATGCGTAGCGGCTGGAGATGTGGTACTGCCTGTGCACGTTGCAGGGGCTGTGTGTGGTGAACTTCTCCGCCACGTAGAGGATGGGGCTGGGCAGCCCCTTCTCCAGGCCTTCGCTGTAGCTGTGGTCGTAGTCTGCATCGAAGCTCCAGGCAAAGTGCTCGTTGTAGTTGATGGTCTCGTTGACCTGATTCACTGGGTTTCCTGCCAGAGGAAGAGGACTAAGGTCTTCTCCCAGCCTTGGAGGCAACTCCAAGAGTTCCCAGTATGTATGCCCACTACCTGGGTGGACAGTGGCCAAACTTGTGTCCGATTTCTTTGTGTTGTGATACACACTCACCCACCAGTGTGATGTTCACTCCTGCCAGGCCGATGTGCAGCCCAATATCCGCATTCACCACGGCACAGCTGAAGGATTTGTAGGAGGTGTTGACTGTCACCCAGCCGCTCTCCCAGTCCCTGGTGAACTGTATGGCTGTAAAGATAATGGGTTAACTATGTCCTGGTGAGCAGACCTCTTAGGGACAATGTATGCTGGAAGGACATACTGTGAGTGTCACCAAACAACATTCCAAAGGCAAGGCCTGGTTTATAAGCAGGATTTTGAGCAGAGAAGCATGGTCCATGCATGTACCTCCCCCAGCACCTACCTACTTCCACGGGAGCCCCATTTGGGATTGTTTCTCCCCATGCTCAGCTCAGTTCCCAGTCCTAGAGGCAATGGGGCTTGTGAACACCATCCAGGCACTGATCTTCTTCTAAGTACAGCCAGTTTGTCTGGGTCTCCTGGCAGATAGGAAACCAGTAGGGGTCCACCAACTTTTGGAGAGGAGGTTTCTGAGTGTCTGTGCTTCCTATCATTGCTAATCCAAGAAGCCTTCAGACATAAGATTTGAATTTCAGGTAGTTCTGTGTGGAGCCAAGAGTTGGAATAGATGACCCTTGTGGGTCCCTTCCACCCTGGGATATTCTATGGTTGTCTTGCTGGGCTCAGATCCTGGGCACTGAAGTGGGTTGATCTTCCCTGTGAGCTCATCTTGCAAGATGGACTCAGCTGTTCTGTTCATCCTCCCACCTTGCTCCTCCTTGCTCTCCTTGTCTGTCCTTGCCCTCCTTATCCCCACCTGTCTCTGAACACACTGAGACCCCCGTACTCACTGAGGACCACTGCTCCAATGAAGAGGCTTGTCACCACCCGCAGGAGCCAGAAGAGCCGCTGCAAGTGGAAAGCAGAGTTGGGGATACACTCAGATTTTGTGACATGGAGCTCAGCTTTGATTAAGTCCCACCAGAAATAGACCCCTCTCTCACTTGGGGAGCAACCCCATGGGCTCCACAGGTGAGTAGGACAGGGGAAGGACCCATGGCTTGGGCATCCCTTCCATGTCATGGGCAGCATGGAGGCTGAGCAAGAAGGTCAGATCATCCCATTTGGGAAAACCGTGCCCATCCCCTTTCCGGGAAAGATATAGACACTCCCTTTAATAGTCCTGAGTTGAAGTTTCCACACTTATCCAAGCCTTATGTGCTTCCATGTGTTGGAAGCTGGCCACAGCTGGAGACAAAAGCAGTTTGGAGGTTTGCTGGGTGGGAAATGCCTTTCCAGCAGGCTCCTGGCAAGCACAGGTGATGGTGTAGGGCTAGGTAAGTTTGCCAGGCATCCCCAGGGGGCTCAGTAAGTGGTGCTGAGGCATGCACACTGCACACCCTCAGTTTTTTTGGAGATTCAGGAAGGTGGAGCAAGCCCTTTGTGCCTCACCCAGTGAAATCATTCAGGCTAATCTAGCTAGGAGCTTGCCAAGCTCAGATCTGAGCCGATTGTAAATTTGGGGTGGTGAAGTCTGGCCTCTCCAGCATGGGAGCTGAGCTTGAGCTCATCGCTGTATCTGAGATCCCTCAGACCCAGACATCAGCAGGTTCCTGCCCCATAGGCACATTAGCTCCCCAGGCCTGCCATAAATGCAGGGAAGGAGGTGGCACTCAGGCTCTACCCAACACAGGGCTGAGTTCCCCTAGCCCTCCACTTACCCCTTTGCCCCGGATGCCTGGCAGGATGATGATGGAAGTGACCAGTGCGGAGAGGAAGACGGAGGCAATGATGGCCCAGGTGGTGTCGAAGGGGAAGAAAGCGTTGGTGCCAGGGTAGAAGGGGAAGGAGCCATCCCATAGAGTCATCCTGTTGCTTCAGGGGTAGAAATCAGCACTGAGAGCCTCCAGAAGCACACCACTGATGGATACGTCATCTGCTCATACCTCCTCTGACCCAGTCTGCCCACAGAACCATCTCCTGCTCCTGTCCCAGGGTGTTGGGCACCACCACCAGTGCACATCTCCAGGGAGGGTGGAGGTTCTATGGCTTGTGCCAGTCCTGAATGGCCATCCCTCCCTCTTTGGCTCTGTACAGGGGCAAACACCTCAATCCCTCTCTATGAGCATGACCACCATGAGCTGAAAGGCCGTTGGGAGCCCTCCCTTCTCCCCAGAGAACATCCAGACTGCAGGGATCTCTGTTACAACGCCTGGATACGCCCTCAGCTTTGATTTGGCCAAGATGCTGCCCAACAACACCCCTATCCGTGAGACACCAGTCAAGCAGAAACCCCCGCACCCCATGCAGTGCCTACCTCTGCTGTGGCCAATGCCGGAGCACCCACTGATCCTCTGGGCCAGCGGCTGCTCTGAGCTGCTGCCTTCACCTTCCCACGCTGCCTCTGGGGCTGTGGGCAAGAAGCCAGCCTGGCATGTTTCTTCCCGAATTTGTATGCTGCGTCCCGCCTCCTCCAACACTGCTGCCAAACCCCAGGACGGGCAGGATGCAAGGAGCGAAGGGATGGCGTGGCATTTTGTGGAGCTGCAGAAGTGAGCAGTCCTGAGGGGCTTTGCCTTTTTTTCCTCCGTTTTTCCCATTAAAAATCCAGCTTTTTTTTTTTTTTTTTTTTTGTATGGCAAGAAGACACCAGGGCCGCCAAGCTCCTTGGGAAAGCAGCAAAGGCTTTCAAAGCCCCCATAAATGCCACTGTCCCCATAAAATACATTATCCAGCAGTGCATCCTGGCTGGGGATGGCTACCACCGCTGACCATGCACCAGACTCCATCTCCAGGGGAATTTTCCCAGTAAGGTCCCATCCAAACCTTCGGTTACTAGGCAAGGTGACAGTGACACAAAAGTTGGACAGGGGATCAGCAGAGCCCAGAAGATCTCCAGTAGGGATTTATGCCCATCCCCTTGGTGCAGTTAATGTCCAGGAGTCTCTCTACCCCATTGGTTGTCTCCATTGTCCCTCAGTGCTGTTCTTGAGCATAGATACTTCATCTGGCATCAAGCTAGGGCGCTGTTAAGGTGGAGACAACCAAAGTCTCCCCACCCAACATCCTGTCATTGGAAGAGGTCTGGGTGGCAGAGGGAAAGACTTCCCATTGTCCAACCCATGTGAAACCCTAATGAGATTTTTCCATCACAGGGTGCCCACCAGATGAGAAAAGATGCATCTCATCTGCTACAGGGCACAAAAGTTGATGGGGATCCAAAGATGGGGGAAAAGACCTGACATCTCAGCACGTGAGACCTGTAGAACAAGTTTGACTGAGAGGACAGAGCACAGCATGACTTCTCTCCCCTCCCTGTGACTGCTGCCTGGCTCAGGTCCTGACTGGCCTCCATCCTCAGCAGATTCATCCTAGCACTGTCCAGTAGCCTGGTTTGGGGAACAGAGCGATCACACCTCCAACTAGCATCACCCTACAGGTCATATCCCTGCCCACCCACTTCCTGCAGAGTAATCCTGAAGACACAGGGAGCAGCTCTGACCAAACACCCACCTCTTCCACCCCTCCCAGCTCCCGCCAGGTGCACCTACTGCCTGGCCTTACTGGGTTGGGTACTGTCATTGACCAGGGAGAGGAGAAGTACCTCAAATAAATACATCGCTCTTAAGGCTTCGCGTTCTCTATCTCTCTGATTACATTCCACATTCAGAAGTCTGATAAACTAGGCTCATTTCCTACTGGCCCCATGAGCTGGGGATGCCCAGTATGTATACAGTAAAGCAAGCCAGCTTGGGTTGCTCCATTGTTCATCTTAGTGCAAAACTCTGGAAGCAAGAGCACGATCCTGTGCAGGGCCAGAAGCAGAGCAGGTACAAATGCTCAGATGCACGTCCTTGCCCTGGAAAAAGTCAACCACTGCACCAAGATCTTCCTGAGCAATTATTTTGCTCTGAGAAGCACCAAGCATGAATTGAGGAAAGTGTCAAGGTTAGCAAGTTGGGTGAGGGATGGGGTCAGGAGAAGGCTGTCAGCAAGTGGGATTGCCATAGGGTGCAGCCATCCTCCTAGTGAGAACTGACACAGGAGGGACTTTAACTACGCTGTCAGGAATACTTCATCCAGTAATTGTGTTGAGTATCCAGCATTCTGCTCCTTCCAAGAGCCATCAAAACACTGTAGGAGAGGAACGGGTCACCAATGGAACCTCCAGAGGTGTGTGTCAGAAAGTCCATCGTGCTTGGGGCTGCCTGATCATCACAAGGCCCAGCCCCATTCAGGCTCTCAGCATGTGCTCTTGGAGCTCCAGATCACAGAAACCTGGTTACTTTCCTTAATACCTCCATCCTTACCCAGAGAATCTATGTCTTACCCCATGGGAACTGCAAACAGTACTCATATTGAGTAAGGCGTTGCCTTGAAGTACATTTTACTGTCTCAGCTTGGAGAATCCCTTCCAGGGGTTCAGTCTGATGTCAGAAGAGGGAGTTGACCCTTCTCAAGCTTTTCTAGGTCTTGTTAATGATGTACAGCATGATAATTAGCATTTTCATCCCAGGCTGCAATTTAGAGATAAGCTTTCTCTCTTAATCCCTGTTTTCAGAAGCCTGATTAAAGCAATACCCGTTTTTTCCATAGACGTCCTGTGTCTAACACCTCCACACCATCCTTGAAATTAATGCACAGTGCTGTGCTACCCAAACTTGGATGAAGGTCGCTGAAGGTCTCTCTTCTGCTGAAGGTCAATAGCATGCCGTGTAATAGGGAAATATGAATCTCTCTCTCTCCAAAGCAGTGGAAAGTGCTGAGGGCTGCTCCACTAGGAGCTTTGTTTGTCCTTATTAAGAGAAAGGAACGTCCTAAATTCACTTTCAGGAGGGATCTTGCTCTACATGCCTCTGCCCGTCACATGAGGAAGAGGCAATTCTGAACTATTGCTTTGATTGGCTTCCCGCACTGGGAAAACATCTCATTCTTGTAGAAGTGACCTAAACACATCTTACAAAAAGCATCAACTATGCAGTAACTTGGCCAGCTCTACAGCTCTAGTAAGGGCTCAGTACTGGGTGGTGAAGTCAGTAGCAGCTGAGTGAAGGCACTGGTGACAGAAAGCAGTGATCATCCGCTACGTCACGTTTATCCTACTCATGGTGCTCTATAAACACCAATATGTCCCTGAATATTTTATTTCCCTTCTTGGTTCTTACCACCACATGTAGGTTAAGTGCAGAATAAATACATGAAAACTGGAAGTGACGTTATGTCAGACCTCCCCTCTCTGTACATCATCACCCTGATGATTTTTGGGACTGATGCAGGGTCCAGTTGCAGGAAGGCTCTTACCTGGCTCTCTGGGGCTGGTTTTGTCCCTGTTGTTCTAGATCCCTTTCCATCCATTGAAGCCTGAAAGCTCAGGAACAAACGCTGCAAGTGCAGCCCATAGAAAGGTTTTGTGGGTCTGTACATGGGTGGTTCGTCTTTGATCCTCTCTAGCCTAGAGCAGCAGCACCAGGCACACATACAGCAGGGTCACAGATGGACCTTCCCACATTGCCACCAGGCCATATCAGCATGAGAGGAGGAGCTCTGCAGAAGCATGGGGGATGGCAAAGGTATTTAGGAGCCTAATTTTTTTTTTTTTCCTGACAGCAAGCTGATTTCCTTTCTGCTTCCTTCTCCCCCTACTTCACTGCCCCCCCCCCCCCCCTTTTTCTATTTTTTTACATTTTTTTTTTTTTTAAATCTCCCATGCGAGAGATGGCACAAAACAACGCAGAGGAAGGAGCACAGCAACCTGAGGCCTGACACTTTTGCTGAGGGTGTAGGAGAGTCAGTCCTATCCAACCAAGGGAGCGCGGCTGGGAGCGCTTCACTAACCCTGAACACTAATGACACCAAGTGGTAGCAGTGGACCTTCAACTGTATCAATCTGAGTCTGCTCACCAGGCCGTCCCACAGCTGAAAGGAAACAAATGTCAGCAGGGGAGGTGGTTTATCTCCCTTCCTCTTATCTTGCTTTGCTTCCTTTTCTCATCTCTGCAGTCATGCCATGGCCACAGAGAAGTCCAGGAGACCTGCCACGATCACCATGAAGCCATCCATGTTCTGAACTGATGCTGCTGCTGACGGTCTGTGCAGGTTGAGGGCACCCCAGCAACCTCTCAAGTCAGCGTCCCCAATTGCAGATCTGCTCATGGCATGCAGAAGCAGCTGGCAGGTTCTGGAGAATGTTGAGGCATGAGAGAGAGAGCTCCATACAGGAGCATGGAGCAACAAGGGGACAAGTGCAAAGCTAGGAAAAAAAAAAAACAAAACCCTCAACAGTTTACCAGTTTGTAATTTAAATTGAAGAGGGACTCGAGGCTTCAGCTTGAGTGGCTGCTTGTCAGAATGGGAGAAAGAATGAAACAGCCCAGTGATGGAGCTGCAGGTGCAGCACCAGGCTGTGCAGTCTTCAGCCCCAGAGATTTTTAAGACTCAAATGGACAAATCCCTGAGCTGACCCTGCTTTGAGCAGGTGGGTAGACTACAAACATGCTCAGACCCAGCAAAACCATGGTCATGGAGATGTGGCAGAGGTCTATTTAAGCTCTAAAAGCACTGAAGTACATGGTTTTCTCCAGTCTTACACATGACCAGTCTTACACATAGCAGGGACGCATCACCACCATCTCCATCTTTACTCTGAGCCTGCTCAGCACCTGAATCAGTACTCAAACATTAGTAAATTAATTAAGTTAAACTCCCCAAATTGAGTTTGTTTTGCCTGTGACAGCAATTCCTAAATGATCTACTTATCTTTATCTCAGGGACTGGGGGAGATGGGGGCAGACAGGCAAGATGAGCATTTCTTGCTAGGTGGGTTAAATAAGAAGGATCTCACTCAGGTGCCGCATGGCAGATTCCTGCTGTAACATCCGGAAATCTGTCTGCCTTCCCTCAGGCCTCCCTGAGCAAGATGTAAGCTGGCAGTCCCACAACATGGCATGTCATAAGACAGCTGAGCATCAGGTCAGAAATCCCATACAGCTGCCATTCCATCACAACTGCCAGCTCTCAGGCATCTGGTCTGCTCCAGCATCAAATATGATAGGCTGAGCCATTATTTTTCTTGCTTATTATTAGTTTATAAGCCAAGGCTTTGCTACAGCTAATAGAAGGCAGACTGGGGGCTGCTCATCTCCCAGCACGCAGCAACAAGTGTGTGGAGAAAATAAGTTTAAGAGAGGCACCTTCCTGAAAAACTTTCCCTTGGCTTGGTCCCACTCCCCTGAAGTGGGAAGGATCCTAGCACTGATCCAGGCATGGATCATGCCTTGGTACAACATGGCCTGCATGCATTTGAGAGAACGGCTCTCCTCCCAGCAGGAGCTCAGAGCAGCCCCCTGCAGAGGTCGAGGCTGAATGCATTATGAGAAGGATGCAGGGGACAGCTTACAGCTTCCCTTAAGGCACCTAGTGTCAGAGTTAGCTCTGCTTGAGGATGTGCCCAGGGTAGCTGGGGGACAGTATATGAACAGCACTTTACGAAGTTACAGAAACTTATTCTGTAATCTCTGCTTGTTTCCAGCCTTCTGCATCTCTGAAGACAGTACACTCGCTGTTCTAAACACATCATCAAAAACAAGTTAATAAAAAGACAACCTGCCTTCTTCAGCTGTTCCAGAGGACCCTGGGGTCACACACAAGAGCTTAGCCATGGGCACACATTGCAAGCACGCCACACAGTCATCCTAAAGCAAGTACACTCCAACAAGGAGAACTTATGGAATCATAGAATCACACAGGTGGAAAAAACCTTAAAGTTCATTGAGTCCAACCACAACCTGACCATGCACCTTAACTCTAACAACCCTCCACTAAATCACATCCCTGAGCACCACATCCAAATGGTTTTTAAACACATCCAGGGATGGTGACTCAGCCGCCTCCCTGAGGAGCCCATTCCAGCGCTTCACAACCCTTTCTGTAAAGAAGTGCCTCCTGATATCCAACCCAATCTTACCCTGGTACAACATGAGGCCATTTCCCCTCCTGTCACCTGTGAGAAGAGACCAACCCTGCTCTTGCTCTAAGCACCTTTCAGCTATTGGAAGAGAGCAATCAGGTCTCCGCTCAGCCTCCTCTTCCCCAACTAACAGCCCCAGTTCCTTCTCCTCACAGGCCATATTCTCCAAGCCCTTCACCAGCCTTGTTGTCCTTCTTCGGACCTGCTGCAGCACCTCCACATCCTTTCTGTACTGAGGTGCCCAAAACACACCACAGTACTTGAGGTGAGGCCTCACCAGTGCAGTGCAGGGCAGGATGACTTCCCTGGTCCTGCTCACCACACCATTCCTGATACAACCAGAATGCCATTGGCCTTCTTGGCCACCTGTGCACACTGCTGGCTCACATTCAGCTGACTGTCCATCAGTACCCAAAGTCCCTTTCCATCAGGCAGCTTTCCAGCCACTCCCCCTCAAGCCTGTATGGTTGCCTGGGGTTGTTATGACCAAAATGCAGGACCCAACACTTGGCCCTACTGAAATTCATTCAGTTAACCTTGTTAACTCTGTAGTGCCTTTCTCCCCTCTGGCAGATCAACACTCCCTCCCAGCTTGGTGGTGTCTGCAAACTTACTGAGGGTGCACTCAATCCCCTCATCAAGACCATTAATAAAGATGTTGAATAGAAGCAGCCCCAGCACTGAGCCCTGGGGCACACCACTCGTGACTGGTTGCCAACTGAATTTAACTCCACTGACCACAACTCTTTGGGCCCGGCCATCCAGCCAGTGTTTCACCCAGCAGAGCATACATCCATCCAAAATGTGGGCAGCCAGTTTCTCTGTGAGGATGCTGGGGGGGACAGTGTCAAAGGCTTTACTGAAGTCCAGGTTGACCACATTGACAGCTTTACCTTCATCCATTAAGCGGGTCACCTTGTCATAGAATGAAATCAGGTTTGTCAGACAGGATCTATCATTGGTAAGCCCATGCTGACTGGGCCTGATCCCCTGGTTGACCCTTAACCGGTCCACGATGGCTCCCGAGATTATCCATTCCATAACCTCCCCTGGCACTGAGGTGAGACTGAAAGGTCCGTAGCTACCAGGATCATCTTTTCAGCCCTTTTTGAAGATGGGCGTCACATTTGCCAGTCTCCAGTCCACTGGGATATCCCCGGTAGCCAGGACTGTTAAAGAATGATGAAGCATTATAGAGGATTGCTGCAGTAGCAAGTGCTGTAACAACTTACCCAAGTTTGTAATTTTGTTTTAGATCAATAAGCGGGGCAGCAGGGAGCATAGCCTATCACCTCCTGGTGATGAGAAGCAGGAGCCTCCTTCCATTCTGCATTCTTCCTGCACAAGCCATGGGGTCTGCCTTTCCACCCTCAAGAAAAAGTCTGAGCTAGCATCTGCAAAGAGCTGGTTTTATTCACAGGGGCACATCAGACAACAAGGAAGCAGAAAACATACAGGAAATATACAGGGAGGATCTGCTTTTCATACAAGCAATCACTATTAACAGTATTACAGAAAGAATAAATGTGATGTTGCTACAGTAACCCACAAGGATGATGCTCTCCTCCATTTGCCATGCACAGCTTAGCCTGCCGACCTCATCCTTCACTGCTGCGCTTCTTCAGTTTGAGAAATACTTCTCCAGCACCTTTGTTAAAAGCCCAGTCTCCTACAAGAAAAAGCACAATGGTGAGCCACAACTCCCCTGTGCCACCTCAGCTGATATCACATGCACAGGCACAGCCCTGGGGTGGCACTGTGAAACCCCAGCACACTGAGAGCCAAGCCCTGCTACTGCATGTGGTTAAAAAGATGAATAATCCCCATTCGCAGCCATCTCCTGTTCTGTGAGACTTCTGCTATGATTTGCATGGAATGGTGTGTGGGATCCTGCTTCATGGAGGGACATTTTGAGACAAATCCCACCAGCAGCAGGCAGGACCAGCCCATGTGAAGCAAAGGATTTGTTTAATGTTTACAGGAGCCCACAGGAAGGGTGAACCAGTTTATGAATGATCAGTGATACTGCCTCAGTGTAAAAGGTCTGCTCAGTTTTTGAACAGTAGTGTGCATTCCCGACAGTTACCCTGCAGCACAGCACAGCTTTTGTGCTGAAGCACCAGAACAGCACTTGCATGTTAGTTCTTGTCCCGCTGAGAAACAGGAAGGGAGAAGCATCTCTGCTTTTCTAAACTGCTTCAGGATGGAAGTGACAGACCCTGAGAAGAGGGTGTACAGAGTTTCGCAGCACAAAGCTGCTGAGCAGCTTCTTAGGCAGGTGGCAAATGCAGCACACACACCAGCTCAAGCACAGGCTGGCTGCTGACCCCAGGTGTCCAACAACAGCTACAGGAAGGGAGAAAGCAGGAACAGCAGGAGGAATTTATGCTGCTGTCATGTCACCCCAACAAGAGCAAAAAAAGGTCCCACAGAAACATATAACGACAGCGCTCAAAATCATCATGAAGAATTAATGTCAACCAGCAGCTCAGAAGCACAGATGGTCAAGGGGGTGAGTGGTAGGAAAAAAAGGAACAGGAAGGCAGAAGCCAGTCTAGAGGTGCTCAGGGTACCTGAAGGACAGAAACAGATCTAAGACCCAGCTGGGAGCACGTGCAGATTGAGGCAGGAGAGCTGTGTGGTTCTGGAAGGAACTGGTATGAGGTAGGAGCCAACTGCCTGCCAGGCACCCAGAATGGGGTGCAACCTCACATCCAGGCACCAGATGGGCACTGGGCAGCCCACATACCAAAGGCTGATGTCCAGCACTGGGTTCTAGCTCTGGCTCCATCTCCAGCTGTATCTTCTGTCCCAAGGGGATTAGTTTGCTAGCAGATCCTCAGTTTACCTAAATCTGATGAAATTGAATCAGGGAGGTCCTTGAGCATCAGTACCACTCAGGCTCACATCCCTGCAGCTCCACTCCACCTGTGCCTATCCCAAAAAGCAAACAGGAGCAAGCACTGCCTAATCAGTGCTTCTAGATGACAGAAGCAGCTTTACCTGTGTTCAGCTACTGAATGGCTCCTCAAGCATGGCAGCTCAGTGGGAGCACACACAGGACACACCCATGAGGATTTCATCTCTTCTAGGCTCTCCATTACTTTCTGCTGTGAACAGAAAGTACAAGACACCAAGGAAACACACAAGAGGCAACAAACGGGCAGAAACACAGCCCAAGCAACTCCACCTCCTATGTGAGGATCTGTGCATGCTTTGCTCCCAGGGGCTAACTTCCCACTAGGAGCTGGGAAAGCCCCCAGGGAAAGCCACACCAAGGAGCTAAAAAGAGGAATGTGAAGATCTGCTGATGTGGTACAGGAACCCCTGCTGTAGATAGGGCATGCGACTGTTCCTAAAGACCTGTTCTGCAGGGAAATAACACACACCTCACCTCTCTGCAGGCCAAACTAACAACATCACATGTCCCCTGCACCCTAACCACAGCAAAACAGCCCCAGAAAGGGGAATTAGAAGACTAAAACCTTTTTGCAGGACAGACTCTTCTTCCTGCACATACAGAGCAGTGTCTCTCTTGACCTTTCTCTGCAAGGAGAGAAGAGGCAGGATTTGCACTCCTTGTCTTTACCACAGCTGGATAAAGGGACACACGTGGCAGCCGCAGCAGCCAGCTACCCTCATCTGCATCAGAGGAGGATCCAGATGCTCCTTAACAACCCCTGGCCTGGAGATCACCTCATCCCCTGCTCACTCTCCAATCATCAGGACAAAAAGCCCCTGTCGTTCAGCCGAACACAATCCTAGAAAGAGCCAAACCTCCAGCAGCAGCGCAGGTGCTTCCATCTCCACCATCTCCCTGCTCCAGGCATCTCCCTCCATACCAGCCAATATTCACCTGGTCAGCGAGATCGTATTTTCTTTGGTTCTGATCCAAAAGTCTTTCTTGCAAGAGGATTTTCAGGAGCTCCCGGGTAAGCAGTTCCACCACGTCCTCCAGCAAAGCTCTGAGCGAGGGGCCGAAAGACATCGGCGCCGCCGGCTGCCGCAGTTCATCCATTCGCGGGGTGCCCGGCACGCTCTTCTTCCCCATGAAGTGACCTGCAACACAGCGCGCTCGTGTGCCTCGCGCCCGGCAGCGGGGCGGGGACCTCCGAGAGCCAGGCTGCGACCCGCACCGCACGCCGACAACCCGCAGCCAGCGAACCGAACGCCTAGAAGAGCCCAGCAGCCCCGGGGCCTCGCTCGGGGAGCCCTCCTCCTCCGACGGCATCTCTACGGCCATAGGACCGGCGGCTCGGCGCCGGGAGCCACGAAGAGAGCCGTGCCCCTCACCTCCGCCCGCAGGACCGCCGGGCACAGCCGGGGCGCCACGGCTCCCAGAGCGGCCATCCGTGCTCCAAAGGAACTGCGAGCTCCGTTCGCGAAAGGAGACCTCAGGAGACGGCGTGACCGCAGCCCGCCTCAACCGCCCCTCACGGGACCGCCGCGCCAGTCCCGGCCCCGCAGCCTCGAGCACCGACCCTCGCCCCTGCCGCTCTGCCCCGCGGGCCCCCGGTACCTGTGGCCCACAGGTTGCCGCGGGGGTTGACCTTGATCTTGGCCGCCTGGCTGCGGTGCTCGGCGAAGTCGAGGTGCACGGCGCGCCCCAGCACAGCGCCGCACAGCAGCAGCAGAAGGCAGCGCACCGCCACCATGGCCGCCCCGGCGGGACACGCTCCCGCTTAGAGCCGCCGTCGCCGCCGCTTCCATTTATACTGAGCGGGGGGCGGGGACTCTTCAAGCCACGCCCCCTCCTCGAGGCTGCCCCTGCCCACTGCTTTCCCGCCCTCCGCGTCCAGTCAGGGCGTCGCGCGGAGTCACAGGGCGTCGCGGTGCGGTGGGACACACGGAGCGCCAGGGCCGCCTCACCGCCAGCCGCTGCGCTTTTATCTGCACTGTCACCCCAAAAGAGCCCACAGTACAGCCTAAAATAGCACCAAAGCAGCCCCCAAAAGGCCCAAATGATGTCCGAACTGCCCGCAGACAGCCTAGCTCCAAATGGCACCAAAATGACTCTGAAACAATCCCAAAACGGCACTAAAAGATCCCAAAATAACCTCAAAACAACCTGAAGTGGCGCCGAACCCAAAGCTCTGCTTTACCAGTAGGTCCAGGTCGTGGGGTGGAGAGCTTCCCTGGGAATAGGCACAGGGAAGACTGCTAGCATTGTGCTTCTCAGGGTTTATTGCTGCTGGAGAGAAAAGATCTCAGAGCAATTCACTGTTCCCTCAGCCTAGGGCAGAGTCTGAACTGCAAACACAGCTTTAATGTTACAAGAGGAAAAAAAATATATATATATATATATATGTATGTATAAAGCCTCATGTGCTCCCAGGGTCCTCATAAGTCCTGCAGCTGTTTCTCTCTTCCAGGCTGTAATGAGGGATTGCAAGCCAGGCTGGGAACAGGTAAGTGGGGAGCTTTTCTGTCACAGCCTTGTAACAAACACCCAGAAGCTGATAGCACACTGCTTTAATTGCTTGACACAGAGACTTAGCTGGACAAGGAGATTTGATTAACAAGGGCTCACAACCCTGGTTTCAAGCTGGGGAAAAGCAACACAATAGCTGCTCAGGGACATGGCGCAGGCTGGAAGTGGACATGATTCTGGGCAGCCAGCGGGGTTTTATGGAAAACAGGGAAATAGACCCAAGCCCACTGCTTGCTGAGCAGCACAGTTGATGCTAAAGGAAGCTGTACAGGCAAGGTTTGAGAATACCAATTTCGTCCCCTGCCATGGTCTTGTTAAAATTGAGTTCCCAACACCAAAACACAGAGTGCAAACCCGAAGCTTAGCACAGCTCGCCCTCTTAAGTGGCATAATTACAGTCAAGGGCAATTTCTAGTTGTATCATCAATGAATGTACAGATATTATAATTATGAATTATACCAGAGAGTTTGGCTAAGCAGTTGCTATACCAAAAGAGAATAGATAGAATGCTTACCCATATCCTGGGCTCACTATGAAATTCCAGAGGAGAGATCTCCAGAAGAGATCCTTCCCCACTGGTAGCCAGCTCTTAAATGGGTCTGGGAGAGGTGCAGCCAGGCTCCACCCCTTCCAGCAGCACAGGTGAACTGCCTTCACTGTGCTCCCCTGGCTGACTCAGTGCTCACCTCAGGTGATCGATCAGGCCGTGATTCAGCAGTTCCCGTGCACTAGTGAACGTTGTACAGGTGCTAAGCAGCCCCTGGACAGGATGCTCAACAGACTGGGTCCACCCAAAACGTGTTTTACCACACCTGGGAATAACAACTGCAGCGGTGATCACACTGCAGCCAAGCTGTTCCCTTCCTGAGCAGGCAAGAGTGCTGCTTCTTCCACTGTCACCCTGAGAATGAACAAACATGGCTTGAAAGGTGGCTGCAGTGCAAGTGACCTTGCTTACAAATGGAGACCAAATTTCCACTGGATTTTTTCATCTGTATCTCCATTGCAAAAACATGATATTTGTAATTCAGGAAAAACAGCTGGCACCCACACTTGAAGTCTCCTGCTTGGGAGAGGTTCAATGACCCAAGTTCCAGCACCTAGGGCAGAAACTGTCACTACAGTGCTCCTCTACAGCTTGCTCTCTGCAGCTCAGAAGTTCACCTTACCAACTGCTATTTGCCACCAAAGGAATCTCCCCAGTTAATATATTTTACAAAAGACGTTACAAATTCCATTTTAGAAATTGATTTCTGCCAGCAAAGGTCACAACATTGGTTTCTGCAGGTGGTACAGCGGAGTCGCCTGTCAGCCACCGAGAGCCTTGCAATGGAGCTGGGGAAGGACGGAGGTGACTCAGCACAGGCTGGACTTCTGATAGATGGCTTTGCCCTCGAGGCAGTGTGCATCTGTGCAGAGCCCACCGTCCCCTTTCCTGCTGGGATTAACCCCTGGAGCTGGGCCAGAGCAGCCTGCAGCCGCCTTTCTGCAGCTGGATCCATTCCTTCCCACCTGCAGGAACCATTCCTTCTCACCCAAGGCAGCCTGAAGGACCTCGGGATCTTTCAGCTTGAGCTGCTGGTTTCCCCTTATGCCTCTGGTTGGAGGAAACTGCCGTGGTATGTTCTACTCTCTATTTTTCCCTATTAATTCTCACTTGCAATTTATTTTCTCGATGACTACTGACCACTGAAATGACATTTTCATAGCACAATCTGTTACAACCCCAGTGTTCCAGATGGTAACACTTAACTCGGAACCCATTGTTTTATAAATAGAGTTAAAATTGTTTTTTTCCCCCGTGCACAATTTTGTATGTATGTACATTTGAATTTCATCATTTTTATTGCCCACTCTCTTTTCACAGTTGGCCTTCATCCACACCAACCCTGAAAAACTTAATATCAACACCAAACTTCAGCATTTGCCTTCTTTTGCAGATCATTTTTGAATGTGCTGAACTCAATCTCTGCACAGTACCCTGGTGTCTTCTGCTATGGAAACTGTTTCCTTCTACCTTTTAGCAAACGATTTCTCCCAGTAAGGGCCTCCTCTTGTATTCCAGGTCTCCTTCCTCTCCTTAGGAGCCTTCTCTGAGGGCCCTTGCCAACTACCTTTGGGAAATGCAGCTGGATGATCCCAGCAGGATCACCTTGCCCACACACCTCCTGATTCCTTCAGCGAGCTCCAATTTTCTTGTAGATTAGGTCCTACTCCTTTCCGGCCTGCTGATCTGGTTTATAGCCTGCAGATCCCCACATTCCCAGCTCACCAGGAATCCCTTGGTGCTTCTAGTGGGTGTTGCAGGGCAGGCAAATAGCTCAATGCTTTCCGTGTCCCACAGCATTTCCGTCCAGGCCCCAGGGTTTGTTGTTGTCCTCTCCTTCACTGCTTTCTTCTGTGAGTTCTTATACCGATGTTTCCGAGAGCCCACGGCACCACAGGACACCTGGGATGCCTCCTTCCGTATCAGTCAGCAACTCCAGCCTGCGCAGAGCTGATGAGGGTACTGACAGACCCGTGAAACTATCAACAAATCCAAACGTACCTAAAAGTGAAGCAGAACAGATTTTCCTCTAGCTCTGCAGAATAAACGTATCATACTCTGCACAGAGGGCCTTGCTAATGCTGAGCTAAGGGCAGGCAAAGTTAACGGAGCAATCTGGAAATGCCGTGGTTCAGAGGGCTTAAAACAAGGTCCATTTTGTTTCCTCGCTGTTGAATTATGCTTTGATACCTTGCCATTGACGGATGCATCTCCCAGGCGGCCTGGGAGGGACTCTGAGCTGCAGAGCCCCAGAAACACGGCGTGCATGTTTCTAGCCCTGCAATATCCACTGGGCAGGAAAATGCATGCTCAAAACCAATGGCTCTAATAAAAAACACACACGAAGAGCAAAGGCCTCAAAGCCCCTGCGCGTCTCTTTCACAGAGCTCCTGGTGCCAATAAAACTCTTAGCAGCAGATAAGTTGCTTCAGCTTCTCCTTCACTGTTCCTCCAAAGCCAGGTCAAACTTAAAGCCCTGTCATACGCCCCAGGCTCTGTTTTGACGCATTTGCCTCTTGTTTACAAAGTTTGAATCCCTCTGTTACATTCATTCTTCCACAGGCAGCAGTGGTTGTTGATAAAAGATAAAATTTGAAATCTCACACATCTTGTTTTTCAATTTTCATTTAAGCAGTAAATGAGTTGTGGTTTTCCCTGAGGTTTCCCACTCACTCCACACCTGCTGGACACAGTACAAATAACAGCTTTGTAACAAGACTTAGAGAAAAAAGTCGTGTTTTCTTGCAGGCAAATCCATGCCTAGATCAGAAGTGTCCCAACCAGAATTACGTGGCAGAAGACTGATGTCCCTCTTTGAGTGAATTGAGGCTTAGAAAAATTAAACTGAAGTTCATTTTCTCCACATTATTTTTACTTCTGCCTCTCTGGAAACTGAAACCCTGCAAGACTGGTTCTATAGGAGAAAGAGAAATTGGAGAGCAGAGGCGATAGCAAGATACTCAGCAGAGAGTGCTCCAAGAGGTGCTCTTAAATTATTAAAGAGAACTAGCAGGAAAGTCAAGAGATGTGGGGGCAGGCAGAGAGAGCGGGAGCAAGAGAGCATGTTTGCGCCATCCTGGATCACAGGGTGCATTTCTAATCTGTCCCTAATTAGACAGATCTCTGTGCAGTTTTGATTTCCACCAAGGCCTGGGGAACTTTGCTAGAACAAACATTCAAAAGACCTATTAGAATTGAACACGTGTATGAGCAGCCCTGTGAGCAGAAAGGGATGGAAGCGCTGCAAGGGAGAGCAGAAGGCAAAAGAGGCAGGAAATTGCCTTACGACGCAATATAGGTGCTGCTTCCCCAGAGCTAAGGTGGACCAGTCATCTTCAGGGCATGGAGCAGTGCCAGGAGTGGCTGGCACGGATGGGAACCGAAGGCTGTGGCTGCCTGGCATCACCAGGGTGTACCTGGCAGTCAGAGGTCCGGAACCAGGACACCCCCTCCTCTGATTCAGCCCCTGAGTCACCCACACTGCTGGCCTTCAGCCGGGGTGCTCTGTTTCTCCTGCTGCAGCAGAGGAGATTCTCTGCCTAAGCCACCTCTCCTCCCTTGGCATCCCTGTTCAGCTCATCCCGGGAGCTGTACGCTGGGTTTGCCATCGTGTGTTTCCCCAGCAAGAAGCAGTCTTCTATCCAAGGATAACGCTTTGCTTTACAGCTTCTCCTTGGAAAACATGAGGTTGACGTGTTCTGATTATAAAGGCAGTAAAAGCACCATGAGATCATCCAGTTTTATTAAGGAAAGCACGAGCCAATTGTCTTACAAACGCAGTCCTTAGAAACTCCCTGCTTAAGCAGTATGCAGCGGCAGAGGAAAACAGGTAATGCTCACTGCTGTTTGGCTGATGATGTGCATTCAGGCATCATAAACACACAAACAAAGACAGCCTTCGTTTCAAAGAGCTTCAATTTTCAGCACGTTACTTCTCACAGCTCACCGCCCATCCATCATACTTGTCTGTCTGCCTTTGATGTGAAAAAAGTCAGCCATCAGAACTGCAGCAATGATCAGAGACACCCAGCACTGCTTTGCTCTGAGGCGGCTCCTGCCCCTGCCGGGATCTGTGCACTGCAGAGCTGCGCCCCGGACTGCAGATGTCATCGAGCAGTAATTAGGCAATGATATTGTCTACCAGAAAATCTGCTGTGTTTGGCTGTAACCACAACAGAGCCCGTGGCAGTCTTAGCCCAGGCTGTTTTTTTTTTTTTTTTTCCCATTGTTTTTTTTTTTTTTTCTTTATAAACCAGACCTTTCAACACCCACATGCTTTACAAATAAATCCCGTTCCTGTTGTGACACAAAGGTCTCCATGTTTCCTAAGCCACCCTGAGATCCTTAAGCCTCAAAGGCTTTCCTGCAGCAGCCTCACCTTTAAAAAAAGAACAAACCTGAAATAAAACACAAAGCCTCAGCCCATCTAAACAGCAAAACCCCTGGCTCTGTGGGAGCATGGCAGCACTCGCCAGACCTTTCAGCATTAGCAACCAGCTGAACCAGAGATCCTGCACGCTCCATAGCTTTTCTGCTCCGCAAAGCAGAATAAGAGTTGGGGAATGGAGCCAGCAGCAGCTCTTTGTCATCCTGCCCCCACGCTCCCAGTTTGCAGCCTCTGCAGCCTCATCCCCAGCATCTTCCCTTCCCGCAGTGGCAGAAGAGGTGTTGGAGGGATGCAGAAGGTGATGTGGGAGGTAGCATAGGAGCTGGTGGGCGTTGGAGCTGCAAATGGATTTGCGGCATGAATCCTCACTCTTATGAGAGCCAACACCTCATTTCATGGCTGCAGATAACACAGATCCACGTTATGAGCTACACTGAGCTTTGAAGAGGCAGAAGATGGCCCGCAGAGGTCATTTCCCAAATCACACCATGGCTCCAATAATCACTAAACCTGGGCTGGAACTACCCCACACTTTACCCAAAAACATCCTTCATTTTTCAAACTCTTCCTGCTCATTTGCGGGTCACCATGCAAGAGCAAAGCTGGGAAAGACCTTCCTGCACCCAAATCTGCAGTCCTCAGCCGCACTGACTGCTGACACCTGCTGCCAGTAGCCGGCATCGCCAGCCTGGGGGCCGTGCTGCAGGCAGGACGGGGACTTTGCTATTTCCAGACATCTGAAAGGACCGTTTCTCATCTCAGGTGCTTGTGGAGAGCTAATTCCTACACCCCTCACAATCAGAATCCCTTTGTGCTTTGCCCCCCCCTTTTTTTTTTAATTTTAATTAGCTTGGTGACAGTAATACAACTGCCACTGCGAGGTGTGAAAGCTAGAGAACGCAGAGAACAGCACCTGCAGCAATTCCAGCAAGTTTTCAGAGACGTGTTGATTAGCAGACTTCAGAAGAGCTTGACTCAGCCCCTTATATCATCCCAAGTTAAAATAAATTTAAATTAATGCACAGAACAACTCAAGACAAAGGCAAAGCAGGGAACGCAGACCCAGTATCAGTGCTACTTGCAAATACAGAAATGTTGCTCCAGGTCCTTGGGAAGGTGCTCCATGTTGGCAGTAGCCCTCACAGAGATTTTCTGCTGTCTCACTGCTGCCTGGGTTTGGCTGTGACAAAACATCCCATCCCTCACTCCAATATTTTCACAAACTGAATCCAAATTCTCTTCTCGAGTGCTCCAACAAAAGAGGCAAATGGCAGATACAAATTTTTATTACTGTTTTGTCTTACTAATTGAGGATTACTCAAAGAGCTGCAGGCCCAAGGCTCACTGTCAGCAGCTGGACCTGTTTGTAGACTGTTTGCAAATACATTTGTTTTGCTTCACCTCACAACATCCTTCTCTGCAAATTGGAAAGATACGAATTTGATGGGTGAACTGTTCAGTGGCTGCAGGATCAAGTCCAAAAAGTGGTGGTCAATGGTTCAATGTCCGGATGGAGATTGATGAGTGGTGTTCCCCAGGGGTCAGTGTCGGTACTGGTACCCTAATATCTTCATCAATGACATTGACAGGGAGGTCTGAGTGCACCCTCAGCAAGTTTGCTGATGACACCAAGCTGTGGGGAGTGGTGACACACCAGAGGGACAGGATGCCATCCAGAGGGATTTAGACAGGCTGAGCAGTGGGCCTGGGAGAACCTCATGACGTTCAACAAATTCAAGCGCAAGGTCTGCACCTGGGTTGAGGCAACCCCCACTAACAAAACGAGCTGGGGATTAAAGGATTGAGTGCAGCTCTGCCAAAAAAGACCCGAGGGTCCTGGTGGATGGCAGCTGGACATGAGCCAGCACTGTGCCCTCACAGCCCGGAAAGTAACCGTATCCTGGGCTGTATCAAAAGAAGCCTGGCCAGCAGGGTGAGGGAGGTGGTCTTGTGCCTCTGCTCTGCATTGTGAGGCCTCAACTGGAGCACTGCATCCAGATGGGGAATCCTCAGTACGGGAGAGACATGGACCTGCTGGAGTGCCTCCAGAGGAGGGCCACAAAAATGCTCCAAGGGACGGAGCACCTCCATATGAGGACAGGCTGAGAGCTGGGGCTGTGCAGCATGGAGAAGAGGCGATCTGATAGCAGCCTGTCAGTATCCAAAGGGGAGACACAGGAAAGAAGGGGAGACTCTTTAGAAGGGTCTGTGGTGATAGAACAAGGGGAAATGGCTTCAAGCTCAAAGAGGGAAGATTTAGGTTAGATATAAGGAAAAAATCTTTTACAGTGAGGGTGGTGAGGCACTGGAACAGGTTGCCCAGTGTTGTGGTTGACGCCCCATCCCTGGAGACTTTCAAGGTGAGGCCGGATCAAGCCCGAGGCAACCTGATCTAGCTGTGATCCCTGTGCATTGCAGGGGAGTTGGATTAGATGGCCCTCAGAAGTCCCTTCTCAAAGGGAACAGATCCAAGGATTCTACGATGCTCCTCAGGCAACAAACCATGCAGTTAAACCAATTGGCTCCGTTCAGGTAGGGATACTGCAGGTCAGCACAGCTGCTGAGTGTTAAAGAAAACAGCCTCATGGACACAGCACCTCTATAGATTGCACAAGTCTAACAAGGTACATATGCAAGAAGCCAAAAATAGAACATAAGTGAGGTTTTTCCTTGCCCTTCTGGACTGCTTTACCCTACACAAGCTGAGTGTGTGACAGCAGTAATCATCTTCAATAATCCCTGTTGCTGGGCAATCTGGGAGCAGTCATGAAGAAGAGGGAATAAAGGATGCAGTGAAATGCAACTGAAGTAATACACGTCAAGTGGCCTTGAACTGCTGGTAGGTTTTGCCAGATCAAGAGGAAAGTTGTCAATCCTGGGACAGCACAGGCAGGGATAACTTGGCTCCTGCTGCCAAGCAACACAACCAGAGATAACTGCACAAGAAGGGTCAGGCAGCCTCAGGTGGAGGCAGCAAAGGCACCATGACCCCAATGCCTGTTCTTGTGAAGATCTGCCCTAACGAAGGGGAGGTAAAATCTTTCCATTAGTCAGCACAGACAGCATGGATGTAAGTTACAGTGGTCACACAGTCAGTGTAGAGGCAGATGCTCCAGAGCTTCTGCCTTGTGTCTTAAATTCTCCTCTGACACCACTTCTACACAAACAAGATCACTAACAAGAAGCTCACAAAACAAGCTGTTGCATGTGGTGATGAGAGGCAGCTTCTTTAAAACCACTGGGCAGCGGTGGTTTGGACAAAGAGTAGCTTCAACATGAGCAAGATGTGGCCAGCTAGGGGCACTCTGATCCTTTTTCCAAAATGACAACCCAAAAAACCTAACACTATTGCATCCTACTAAATCATCCTTGCCAAACAGCTGTGGGTGTTTCCCATCTCAAATCTTCTATTACCTAGGGCTGCACTGAATGTTTGTGTTCAAAGTAATCCTTTGCTATCTTCTGCCCAAAACACCTTGCAGCCCTGAAGCAGATTATTTCAGTGTGATTTACAGGAACATAACAATACTGAATGGATCTACAGCTCGGGACTGCTTACTCTTCAGAAAGAAAGGACAGGAGCAGCTGCTACTCTGTAAGGAGAGGATGTCAATTCACTGGGCTCTAGGAGCCCACTTGCAATGACAAAGCCTACCCCCTCCCTGGGCAACAAAACTGGGCAACGAGGCTGGGCAATAATGAAGAATGTGGCAAGATGCTGGGCAAGATGTAAAATCTTTATTCCAGTTCTAAATTGGAAAAAAACCATCACCTCCACAGATCACCATTCGACAGTTCAGTCAGCATGGGGAGACGTCACATTTGCCCAGCAGAGGCACAGGCTTAAAGGACGCAGTCCTGTAGGCACTTGGAGAGGAAGCTCAGCTTCAAGTACAAACACTGAACAGTTTGGCTTAAAGTTTTAATATAAAAAACCTCACTAAAAATGCTAAAATGTGACAAACCATTGGAAATACTGTGACAAACATTCGCCCTTAGGCAGTAAAAAACAAAACAAACCCAAACTGGCAAGAAGCTTTGAAATGTACGTTTTCTTCTTCCTCCCGGCACATCGGACCATCATCTTCTACTTAAAACGTTCACCTACACAGCCCATGGAATCTTCACTGCGTTCTTCAGTGCAGCAGGCTACTCTCGATGGACCAGCACAAACAAACCCAGTAGAAAGAGGACTGCATACTGTAAGACAAAGCAGAAGAGACAAAGAGTGCACACTCACCTCTAAAGATGCAGCAACGGGATCGGAAGTACTGGGCAAACGGTTCTGCCTGAGTGTGCAAAGTTCTCATAAGGGAATTTTAGCTGGTGGGGGAGAAAATGAAAGAACTCTTACCTTAAATTTTGGGTAATCATTCATTAAGATGGTCACTATTCCAATGTAGGGCACAAACCTACAAGAGTGAAAAAAAAAAACTACAAGAAGAGTATTCAAGGGTGCACACAACCTCTACTGGTGTAACTGGTGATTTTTTCCTATATCAGCCTTCTAGGTTCTTGGTGCTCAAGGCCCAGTGGTGCCTTGTGGCAATCTGACCCAATTCAGCAGTGCTAGGAAAAGATGATCTGCTTCAGCCAGTGCCTGCATCTCCAACCAGGCTGGCTTTCCTGAGGGCCACTGCAGCAGGAGTAGAGGCCTGTCCAAAAGGCACGTTCCTCTGCATCAAACAGGGGGAGTCAAATCACTCATTATGCACGGCGTGCTGCAAGGGAATTCAACCAAATTAAACTGCCATCACCCGCAGCTTGTTGCTTATCCTGCTTTCCCAGCTTCTTTCAGCACAGAGAACCTCCAGCCAGGTGCCAGCACGTTTCTAGCAGTAGCCACTGGGAATAAAACATTGGTGTAATACCAGCTTATTCTCTTGAGAGGAAGGAAGGGGCAATCAGCACCCAGTTGCAATTCAGTTTAAAATAAGTGAATGGCCGTGGAGCTTCCTTGGGATAGACAAAATCAGCACAGAAGCAGCGTAGCTTGTAGGGTCCTTAGAAACTGCTATAGAGCAGAGCAAAATCTAAACAAGCCAAGAGTCAGCTGTCTACTTCCAATTATTCTAACACTCTTCACGGTTAATTAAAGTGACACTCTTATGCGTGATTTGGAATACAAAAAAAAATGCTTCATGGTGAGATTTTGTGTGCGTGTGTGTGATTATCAGGAAGATGAAGCTTAGATTACATTTGGGTACTTGAGCTGTCCTGTCTAATCGAAAGAAGATCCTCAGGAAGGACAACTTCAACAAAAAGGAATTAGGCAAGCTGTGGAGATTCGACACTGGTAGTTGCTTCCTCCCATGAGGAAGGAATTATTGAGCAAGTAGGCTCTCAGGCCTCTAACAGCTCTGATGATAACCCACATTGCTTAAGAGCCTTATTGTGAACACAGGGGTTCCACATTAGAAACTCAGATCTCTCTTGCTGGAAGGACTGTGACTCGCAAAAATAATTTTGACACATATTCTCATTGTGCCTTAATGCCAGAGCAGGCACTGCCTTTGCACTGCTGTCTGTTCAGCATCAAAATCTCACGATGCAGCTCACAGCTTGATGCCTTCACTTGGGCCAAGCACAGAACACAACCACATTAGTCTTTTAACCCCCCCTGGTACCACTTGAAATACTTCCATGCAGGTCACAAAAGCCCAGTGGGGAGCTCACTGGGAGAGGGGGATGAACAGGCAGCAGTGGGAAGCAATACAAAAAGCTCCACTTACCCTCTTGCTCGTCCTACTACATCCTTTTTCTCCAGCCAGTGCTGCCCTCGTTTGTACAGCCCTCTGTCATCCACAGCATTGTTGTCTCCCTTTGTCAAAAATTTGATGTCACCGTTTTGCCTGGCAAAGATAAGTCAGAAAGAGAAGTCAAAGAACTTCTTAAAAGCTGTCCTAGAATTAGCGTGTTGAGACTGACACAAATGGCTAGAAGCAAATACGTCCGAGATGTTCAAGCAGGATGAAAGAGGGAAACTGTTGAATGCAGAGGAAGGAACAGTGTTTAGGGGAAAAAATGCAAACAGAAGAATGAATTCTGGCCCCAGGCAAGCTTTCCTGCAGAGTTTAAGAACAGAACCAGCCATTTCCAGTGAAGGTTCAGCTACTGTGACTATGCATTTGACTTCTCTTGTGTCAATGCCCATCTTGCATTATATTGAGTTCTGGTGTCTGTACTGCCATCCAAAACGGAGCGGGGCAGAGGAGGCACGGAGATGCTGCCAGGGCTGCAGCACCTCTGCTATGGAGATGGGCTGAGGAACTGGGGGTGTTCAGCCTGGGCAAGAGAAGGCTGCGGGGAGACCTCAGTGCGGCCTTCCAGGACTTGAGGGGAGCTCAAAACAGGAAGGGGACTGACTTTATATGGTCTGACTGTGAAAGGGCAAGGAGTGCCTTTAAACACAGGAGATTTAGGTGAGATGTCAGGAAGAAATCTTCACTCAGAGGGTGCTGAGGCACTGGAACAGATTACCCAGAGAGGCTGTGGATGTTCATCCCTGGAGGCACTCAAGGCCAGGTTGGATGGGATCCTGGGCAGCCTGATCTAGTGGCTGGCAACCCTGTCCATGGCAGAGGGGTTGGAACTAGGTGATCTTTAAAGTCCTCTCCAACTTAAGCCATTCTGTGATTCTATGAAAATGAGGCTCTGGGGTTAAAGCACACAGTTCTACTCAGTAGTGGTCAGGAACAAGCTGACACACAGAAATTATCAGGAAAGAGGGACAAAACAGAACAAACAATCCCTTTATGACATGACATGAACTCAGGATGTGCCTACATCTTGAAGACTTTCTATGGCTCTGAACCCTCTACGTCCTTTTTGGAGAGAAGACCTGGCCAAGGTTCAGAAATGGTGAATAAGGTCCGGAGCCACTTCTGTACAAAGAAGAGACCAAGGCTCTTCAGCCTGGAAACAACAGAACTGACAGGAGATGTGACAGCAGCTCCATGTAAGTGACACAGAAACAGCTTTTCACTGCCTCTTCCCATACAACACCCAGATGCCACCAAGCAAAACCAGAGGTAACAGGTACAAACTGAACTATGTCTCAATGACAAAGTATTTTGGATGGCAAAGAATGACATCAGTAAGTGAGCAGATACCCACATCAAAATGAAAACGGGGCTATTAATACAGAATATCACTTCTTGCTTGAAACCATTATTTACTGAAAGCAGGGAAATTATCGCTGTACATTCTCTTTACTCTTTAATCCTTTCATTCTCTTTAATTTCTTCTAATTTAATCCTTCCTTCAACTAATTCTTCCTCAGTTAGCTCATCAGAACCAGCACCCAGGAGCAGCAGAACCGCTGCTCTGACCTAGAAGCAGCGCTGTCCTGCTCTGGCCTTACACACGGTGTTTTGCTCTCTTCTCCCTTCTCCAGGCATTCCCACCTGGCTGGATGGACAACCAGCAATGCTTGTTTCAAAGCAGCGGTCTGTGCCACTGCCTGGGGACCCCGCTGCCTCCCTGTGGTATCTGGAGAACTGCTGCTGGTTCTGTTGGCTTCCTCAGAGAAACAACAGGTCCAGCATGGTATGGGAAAGCACGTGGATCCTCACAGCCCCTGCTGTTGTCATCACAGCCAAACAACGATCTGTGTTACAAGATAGGAGAGCCTTGGAAGGGAAAAAGAGGGAAAAAAATAGAACAGATCTCTCTTCAAAGCACATCTGGCTCACAGTATGGAAATGGCAACAACCCAGCAGCTTACTTACAGAGTCCACGAAAAGACAGAGATACCTAAAGGCACAGATAATGGCATTTCATTCAGAAGACTGACGGTGTGAGGAGCACACCATCATACCAAACTGTTTCCATGCCGCATCATAAACCTGTGTGAGAAGCCCACAGCAGAGCTGCTCTGCTGTTTGAAAGGTGAAAGGAAAGCCAGCCTGGCTCTCCTGCACAGCCACTGCGCCACTCTGGATGGCAGACTGTTCTGTAACACAGAGCAAACTCAATTTCATTCTGAACAATGAAGAAGAAGCTAGCAAGTAGAAAAAGCTTTTCTCCTTGAAACAATACTGCTGTGAACTGGAGCCCCAGTTGCTACAAAACTGTGGACAACAGAGTATTCTGCTTCTCTTCATTCTCACACTCCTGTCAGCTTTCACGGAGTCTTTTCACGATTTTCATTCTCAGCGTGTAACTACAGAAGCAAACTGGACTCCGGCCATCCAGAGGAAATTCCTGAATTCAGAACCACCACCAGAAAAGTAGTCTTCAACTAACGAGAGAAGCAACTGATACCTCAAAGTATGAGCTGCTTCCAGTGCTCAGCTTTGGGTCTTTCATCTTTACTAACATAAGGATCAAGTTTGGCTTTGTCTTTTTTGTTTTTAATGCAATCAAAAATACTGGAGAACGGCTTGACTTCACTTCAAAATCTGGGATTGGTGCTATGGTTCCATTAAAACAAAAAAAAAGCACTGGATACCTAGTGTTGAGACAAAGCCAGGCAAAAAAAATAGGGTGAAGAATGTCTGGAGACAAATTGTTACACTGAGAGCACGTTTCCGCTCCTCCTTCCCAAAAACTGGCTGAAAGCAGACAGAGAATACCCTGACTTTTCTTACCTCTTCAATCACCAGTCCGAGCAGCAGCACTGGAGCCCAGATGAGACTTTTGCATGCAACAGGGGAGAAGGAAAGTAGTGTTTCACTTAAAAGAGTTCCCAAGACATCTCAAAAAGCATGTGCGCAGTGTTTGATAGCAGATTTACTGCCTATACCAATCTCCTTTTTGAAACTAAAGCTACCAAGAACCAACACTTTGAAAAACAACTAACCCACGACAGGTTCTGGGTGCAGAATCAATCTGTACAGCAAACAATCTGCTATGCCTACAACATCCTTGCAGTCAGGATTTCAGCTGAACTATTTATGTGCATGAAGCCGGCTGAGCTCGAGTTGGGCCAGGAGTCAAGACGTTCCAACAGCTGTAGCTGCCACAAAAGCTTGAGAGAGAACCTCTGTCCCTTCAACCTCATCGGCTGACAGCAACCCAGAGCAGTTGGATGTCCCTGGAGGTGTTAAAGGCCAGGTTGGATGTGGCCCTGGGCAGCCTGGCCTACTATTAGATATGGAAGTTGACCAACATGCCTGTGGCAGGGGGGTTGGAGCTTGTGATCTTTGAGGTCCTTTCCAACCCAAGCCATTCTATTCTTTGATAACCCTTGAATGCCACCTTTACATATGATGCAAGTGATTCATTAAATCTAGAAATGGATCTCTGAGCCTTGGTACAGCTCCAGTTCATTCCTAATTTACTCAGCAAAAAGATGCCGGGACCACATTCAAATGGGGTTACCCACTCAGCTCTCTTCTCAGCATGCCAGCTCTTCTGGCATGAAGAAACAGGGATTCAGTTCAAGGTTCAGCTTTGACTCACATCCCTCACAGGGCCGGCTCTTATCCCCACCAACTGCTGGCTTTGAGCAGTCCCAATTGCTTCAGAACAGACAAATAAGAAGGCTCACAACTGAAGAGAAAGTCTTGCTTGGAAAACCAAACCCTGTTCAGTAATCAAACCAGAATAACTGCTTTTTTCACTTCTTCTGACGCACACTCTGCTCAACATTTTGAATACAAATGGTACAGGGACAGTGCAGCCCATCTGGACACTGAGTATAACGATGCTATAATGATTCCTACAGAGAAGAAAACTGTACAAAGAAACCCTTCCCCTGGTTAGGTCCCTCAAAGTTTAAAACAGTGCATGCTGTGCTGAAAACACTCTTCACACATAAAGTTCTACTTCAGAGGTCACTTAACACACCCATTCCTAGAGGAGACAAAGCAGCAAAGTTATGAGGCAATTTGGGATGGAAATGACAGGAGATGCTACATGACAGAGTGAGTTCAGGATACCGGGACAGACTCCCCAGCTTGGGAACTCTGCAGCTGATCCTCACAAGGGAACCAAAGCGGATAGATCTGCACTGCTGGAAACTCTGACATTACTTCCTGCAGCACTTGGACATCTCTTAAATGAAGTTCCACCCATTACTTAACCAAGGAGATGAGGAAAAAGACAATTAATTCAACAATTGCAATAGAAGCCCCCCAAATTCTTAACATACTTCTCGTGAATTTTCAGAACACGATGGACTATAGGAATTTCCCTTCCTTCTATCCTAAAGACCACAATTTCTCCCACTCTGATTGGATCTTCAATGCGGTTTGTTAGGAACAGGAGATCTCCTCTGTGAAATGCAGGCTCCATGCTTCCACTGAAAAAGAGAAGAGGAGCAATTAAGCAATATTTAAACACTGAGAATCAGGCTTCACCAGTTATAGGCTTTTAAGAGAAAGCTTGCCGTGTCTTTAAAGAATGCCTAAGATAATGGCACAGGCCTGGAGGACTGGCACGTGTCTGATCCCTGCTCCATCTGGGTTTTCTATCACTATACTAGCAGCAATTAAGATCAGTGCCAGCGGGGAGGGTTAAAACCATAGGTTATGGTGATAACCATTAGGTTATAACCATACATAAGTCATTATGCTCTCTCCCTCGTAACAGGGCTGGCAACCAGCAGCACCTTCTCTACGAGCACTAAATTCATTGTGCTATGCTGGTAGTGCTGCAGTGGTGGGCAGGCAGCTTTTGCGTTTTGTTTTTTCACAGGTAGATGGAAGGCCCTTGAGAACGCAGCGCTGAAAACACACGGGCTCTTGTGCTCCCATCTGGAACAAACAGACGGGCGTGCTGAAAATCTGTTATTGTGATTCATCACTTTGCTTAACTATCTCATTTCAGGCACTGCTATTCAAGTTGTTTTTCCCCTGTCCTGTAAATGACGACTGTTATCAAATACCTAACCTTCCTGCTTTCAAATCAATAATGCGATACAGCAGGAAACAATGAACTTTCACTGTTTTATCTCAAGACGGTAGAGAAGCTGCCGTTTCGGAGATAAGAAGAGAGGATGCGACCCAAAGGCCCACGTCTGACTCACTGGGAAGAGCAGCACAGAGCATCTCCCCTGAACTTCAAGGGATCCATCAGGAGTGCCACTTGCTTCTAAGTCTTTTATTTTTGAGCCTTGTTAAATGGCATGAGGTAATTAACACCAATGTAAAAATGCACTGAAAGGCCAAAGCAGCCACAGAACAGGACACGTGTGGTACCCATGCAGCACCTGGCCGTGCCTGCACCCAGTCAATGCCCAAGAACTCCACCAGGACGAACCTGTCCCAGAAAGGAGGAGGACACAAGCAGGGCACACCATCAGTGGCACCCATGGCGTCATGCTTTTGTGAGGCTACGCAGCATCTGAAACATATCCAGTTATGGTGATATCCCTTATTTTCTGCCTGTAGGGGAACTGCTGGATCACGGCCTGATTGACCACCTGAGGGGAGCACCGAGTCAACCGGGAGCACAGGTGAAGGCGATTCAGCTGCGTGATCAGAAGGGGTGCAGCCTGGTTCCATCTCTCCTAACCCCACTGAAGGGCTGACTGCCACTCAGGAAGGATCTCTCTCTGGAGATTGCTTCTTGTAGAGTTTCCTGTGAGCCTACAACATTGGTGAGCACTTTCCATTTATCTCTGATTATCTTTTCCAACGTCATAATCTCACCAGCCTAACCTTCTCTGTATACCTATTGATCATCCAATACTTTACAACATTTGTACACTTATTTCTCTTATACAGTCACACATGTACCAGGGTATGGCTGCAGCTCCCTTTCTCCTAGCTCACTAGAAGATCAGGGGAAAAAAAATAAGTAGCTGTGAAAAACATAGTTAATGGATACCAGTGAGGATGCAATGTAACATCAATAACGCTCACTGGTAGTGGCAAGCTTGGTCCTATTTAAAAAAAAACTCTTCCCTGTAAGAATTTATTTGCTAGCATCTCAAAGACATCAACCTCTTTGTTCATTAATTGAGACTTGTTGCACTCTTCAACCACTCACACAGCAGCAACAAGAGAGGTGAACAGGAGGCGACTGTGCTGCAATGCCCAGCTGCTATGGCCTCTACAGCGGGATGTGCTGCAACCTCAGTGACAAGGCGAGCCCTGCCACAAGCACTGCTTTCATGCAGCAGCGTGTGTCCCCAAACCACTGGTGCCAGGCCTCCTGCTTCAAGGCCTTCCTTTCCCATGTTTCACCCGAGTTTTTCCAGGAGGTCTGATAGAACTCGAAAGCGCTTGGATCGAGCTCTTTGATGTCCTCTAGTTTCTTCTCTGTCCCTCCTCCAGGACCAGCCCTGTCATGTACGTATTTGACAGCTGACAGAAACAGAAGATGCTATTTCTACACAGGGTGATGTGTTTCGCCTTCCTGCTTCACAGAACCATCAAACAGCTGAGGTTGGAGGGGAGCCCTGGGTCCATCTGGCCCAGTGCTGCCCGGCACGGAGCAAAGTGCTCACATCCAGGTGGCTTCTGAACGTCCCCACAGACAGAGGCTCCTCAGCCCCTCCGGGCAGCCTGTGCCGGCGCTCCGTCACCCGCGCTGTGCTGGCTGACGGTCAGTCAGAACCTCCTGCTCTGTGCCCGGCACCGCTCAGCAGCGCCCGTCCCCTCCCTGCGGGCATTTCATCCTCTCCCCCGTCTTCCACTGACACCGGAGATCCTCAGAGAGGCTCTGCCCTACCAGGACCCGGCAGCCGGGATGGACGCAGGGCCACAACTCCAGAGAGCATCCTCCAAAGGGCCGGACGCCCAGGCACCGCCAGAACCAAACCGCGGCCGCGACCCCAACCGCACCGCGCCCACCGCCTTCACCTCAGCACCACCACGATGGGGCTCTCGCTGCCCGTCACCACCATCAGCCCCTTCCAGATCATGAGGGCGGACGAGACGATCATGCCGAAGTTCAGCACCTGGTAGTAGAGCTGGGAGGGAGGAGAAGGGGGCGGCGGGGTCAGGCTCGGCCGGGGTCTGTGCGTGCCCGCTTTCGCCCGCCCCGCCGCGCACCTGCCGCTTGTTCATGCGCCGCACATCGTCCAGAAAGTCCAGCGACAGCATCGCGGGCACCACGGCGGCGGCCCCGCGCCACTTCCGCTTCCGCCCGCGCGCTCGGCTGCTTCCGACCCCGCCCCACCCGGGAAAAGCGGGAGCGGCAGCGGAAGGGGGCGGTGGAGCGGGGACGGAACCAACGAGGGGTGGAGGTGGGAGGGGGGAGCGGAGGATCATGGGATCCCGGCCGGTATGCTGCACGGGGCCCGCTGCGCCATGGGGCGCCCGCAGCTCTGGGCAGCAGCGCCAGCGCCTCAGCGCTGTGCTCGCAGTGCGCTCCTCGCACCTCACCGCAGTGTCCTCTGTTAAAGCCGTCCCATCTACCGCTACCTGCAGCCTTCTCTTCCCCAGGCTGAACACCCCCAGCTCCTCAGCCCGCCTCCTTGGCCCTCCTCCGGCCCCCCAGCCCCCCTCTGTTAAGGGTCAGAAGGGACAGAAGTTGACAGCAAGGAGACGGCAAGGAGATGCTGGCAGGAGGAGGGGACGGCGGTGACAGGGCGGGGATGGCGGGCAGGAGCCCCTGGGCTGTGTCCCTACCCCTGCCGGCTGGGGTGTCCCTTCAGTCCCCTCCAGCCCCACGGCCTTCCCCTCGGCAAGCAAACACCCGCGCCAGGAGCACTGTTGGATGCTTTTATTTGAAATACTTTGAAGTAAACATTATAGCAAGGCACAAATGCCACTGCAGATTAAATAGATATGTGATGGCTTGGGAGTGCCCCCGCTATCCTTACTCTACGTAGGCTACCTTGTAAAACATTCCCTAGGCTAATGTACACAGTATCAAAAAATACAAAGAGTCCAAACTGTTTGTATCAAAACACATTGAGACAAGAAAGTGAGCAATTCATATGCAATAAGATAAATAGTTCTTAAATTATTTAAACATTGTCATAGTAAACAATAACGAGCAGGATTCTGGCTCAACATAAAAAAAAAAAAGTATAGAAGATAATTATATTACATGAAACGCGTGTGTTGGGGGAACGATGAGGAAACGGCACGGACAGAGTCAATATGACTACGTGGACATAAACGTCTCCAAAGGAATATGGAAAACTGAGGCAATAGGACAGCGGCATCCTGGCCCCACCAGCCTTGTGGGGACCCTCATCACCTCCCTGCCAGGATCCCACAGGCCCCGGTGAGAAGTTCTTGTTTTCGGGACCGCGATGCCCTAATGCAGAGAGAAGTGCTGTACCCACCCACCTCCCTCTCCCTGTGGTTGTGCTCTTCCAGAAAGGGGCTACAAAATTCTGTTTCGGGGTAATTAAGAATCACGATGCTTCATTAAATTACTTTTTGGAAAACGTGACTGTTATTAAAGTAGTAACTTAAATGCAAGCTTGAGTACAACTCAGGCCTGTCCCATTAAACACAGACAATCTCGGATCGGCCAGCACGGCCCTGACACACGTGCTTTGCTGAGATAGCATTATGAATTAAAATGAATGAAACAAAGGCAAAATGGGAAAAGTAAGTCATAAATAGGAGGAGACAGAAAGGGAGATGGGGGAGGCAAGGCTGGGGCTGCGGGCAGCGGCTGAAGCAGTGCACTCAAAGGAGGAAAGCTCATCTTCAGGGAACTGCAGCTGCAGAAAGTGCTCCTTGATCCTCAGGAGCTGGACAAACTCCAGGGAGGATTCTCGCCCTGCTTTCCCTTTTCAACTCTCTGAGCTGGCAGAGAGTTAGTGCTCAGGATGCAATGGCAGGTATTTTTTTTTTCCAAATTTCCCTTACAAATGGAAGTTAACGGAAAGCAACGTCTATCCCAAGAAATCAACAGAACGTTTCAATGATTTGCCCCATCCCCACCCAGTATTTTGAGTAAAAACCCCCAGAGAAAAAGCCCCAACAGAGCAAAAAGCTTCTGTTTCACTTCTAAGTCTTAACAGACTTTGAATGATTGTTCTGAGAGGTGCTACGAGGACCCTCCACACCACATGTCTGCCTGTGCTCACAAAGAGCTGAGTCAGTTTTGCACTCTTTGCATTCCAGGCTTTCCTCTTCCGCCATAGTGTTCATCTCGCCATTATACCCCTCGTGTCCGTTCTCATTCGTCTCTGCTCGTAGCTTCTCCCTCTCCTCCTCTCCCTCCTCCTGCTCCTCCTCATCCTCTTCTTCCTCCTCTTCCTCCTCATCTTTTACTTTGTGAACAATGAAGAGGTGTCTGTTCAGAGAGATCTGAGATGTGTAACACAAGCCGCAGAACAAGCACTGATACGTGGAGCTGTCTGTCTTGTGCTGAGGTATGTGCTCCTGGAACTCAGTACTGACGTCTGTTGCAAACCCACATTTTGCACATTTCCAGTGCGCTTTCAGTTTTTTGGCCGGCGGTGCGTCTGAACCTGCAGCGGTCCCTGCCTGCCCCACATCGTTCGTCGTCATCCTCTTTGGAGATCTCGCCTTAAAAAATAAGATTAACAAGTTACTTCATCGTTTGAGCCCACAGAAGAATAAGCGTCTTAGTTTGTCGAATCCCACACATACACGCGAAGGCACCTGAGGTAAATACACACAGGTATTCTGTCACAAACTAAACAGTGGCATGCCTATGCCTGGGGGCTCCCCTCGCACTGCCTTCCCTGTCGATACCCAAACACCTTGAGGTTGCAGCAATGCCTCCTCTGCCCCCTGTCACAATTTGCAGGATGTCATCTGCTGTCCTGCAAGGCGAGATGGGAGCTCTGGGCGGAGCCGGCAAGGCAGAAAAACCACGGGAAGGAGAAGCTGAAACGTCTTCCCCTCTACTCTGCCTTCTTCCTCATGCCATCTCTCACAGCCTCATGCCCTGTACCGCACCATCCTGCAGCATAGTCTCCTCCTATGAGGACGGCTCGACCACGTATCCCTTTGTGTCATTTTGCTATCTCCTCATCCAGCAGCACTGCACAGCCTTTGTTTTGCATACAGTTTGGCTTGTATCTGGAACAGAGCTAGAGCGGTGTGCAGCCAGCTCTCAGCTGCAGAGCTCTGCACGGGGGAAGCGGCCACCAGCTCACAGAATTCCAGATTTCCCTTTCTCCCTGCCTGAGATCACAAACAGAGAAGGGTCTTGGTTGCAATCCCTCAGTGCTACGGGACCGGAGACAGATAAATAGAGACAGATTTTCCTTTTTGCTTCTGTTTTTAAAATGACTGGAACAAGGAGCTCAACCTGCCAACCTTCCGCTCCAAACCAGCCCAAAATAACATCAGTTGAATGGTTACAATTGTTGGAAAAAAATGGCACAGTCCCACTGCAGAGGAATGCAGTGCTTACATGTAACAGATCTAGTAGGAGCTAAACCAGAAACCTTTGTGCAAGTAGTAACAAAAACACGAGGGAGGGAGAAAGCAGAAAAAATGTACCAGACTCTTATACCTCAAAGAAACTGTGCAGTGGTATGGGGAGAACGAGGGTAAAAACAAACCCTAATTAGTTCTGGTTGCAAAGTGGTCCGAAAAAGGCCAGTAAACACAGGGCCGTATGTTCAAAACCATCTTGAAAAACGCAAGATGCGTTGCCCCAGTGCTGCTGCAGCTCAGCTGCACTTTCAGTTCAGATCACGATACTGCTAGAAACAAACTAGATGGAATTTGGAGAACAGGAGGGAAATCTGCCATATTTCAAAGCAAGAGGGCTTCACTGCCACCAATACCACTCGTTTTCTGCCCCATGTGGACAGCTACTTGCCAGATACATCTATTTTTGAATGAAAATGTATGAGTTACTTCTGCTGTGTCTCTCTCTGGAGCTTTTGCTTTGGCCATCTGGGATAAGTCTGGGTTTTTGATGCCGTGCATGAGGCTGATGTGATTCTCCAGCATGAACGGCTGAGGAAATGTCTGATTTTCATCTGTGCAGTACCTTGGAAATAAATACAAAACAAAGAAAATATATTAGAGGAAATGCCCCACTGTTCTTTCATCCAAACAGCTCTTCGTTATGCGCCAAACCAATAGGTGTCATAGGAGACAGAAGTTGTTGAGTAATGCACTATTAAATTACCAAAAGAGACAGGAAATCACCATTTTACTAATAAAATATTATCCCTGACAGAAATCCATGAAAGTTTACCGCAGTAAGGACGAGCAAGAACAAAAGTAGGGCACGTATTATTTACAGCAGAGCACTTAATGAATACAGGGATGACTGGAGATCAGGCCCGCTGTGATACACGCCGCAGAAGCACCAGGTAAGTAATCAAGACGAAAAAAGAACAGGAGAAAAGCAGCTTTCAGGAGAGCAATGCACGGGGAGACCTCATTTTGTGTGCAACGAGGAGGGGCCCTGCAGGTCCCACTACCAGTGCAGTATCACATCCACAGGACCTTGTTTATCATGGTACACTTGAAATTCTTACAAAACCTCTCAACTTCCAGCCCACGTGTCAAAAGCACTCACAAATGCATCATTTATGTGGAACTAAATACACAAAAACCCAGAAGGACCTAAAAGCTGCCAGAAACGACACTGAAGCTTCAGAAGGAGATGTGAAATGGAAGAGCCAGCTATTAACTTGCCCTCTCGGACGACCAAGGTCTACTGGAAATAAGCACCAGGAATATAAACCACCCCTCTGCAGCACGGCCAGGTGCAAAGAGCACTCGGAAAGCGGTCAGGAAAGCCAAGGTTGACTTTGTACTCTTCTGCTGACCGCCAGTGTGACGTGGGGAAGCTCCACGAGCTGGGCATCAACCCGAGCGGTGAGGCAAGGAACACTGTACCTCTCTGCAATGCACAAATTGCAGCTGAAACACAGGCAGCAGGGGATGAAAAGCAGCAAATCGAGGGTGAAGCAGATCTGGGAGACAAAGGCCTTTTTTAACAGGAGAGAAAAAGGTTTCTACTGATCTTCCAGCTTCTCCACTAGATGGAAAAACAACGGTCAGTAATGATGTTAGAACACAGATGTAGTCACCGAGTATTTCTGTTGTGTTTTTTTTTTTTTAAACAGGAATTGCTCAGATGATAAATCAGTATTTAATAATGATGGGATTTTTCTCCTTCAAGGAGGCAAGAGGAGGTTATTAAGTGGTATTTATCAAAAATAAACATGCTGAAAATCAAG